GTTTATCGCTCAAAGCTTCATTGCTGGTTTCTCYTCAGGTTGGAACGCGTCGACTGACGCATTGGCATGTTAATCTTCTGCTGCAAGACAGAGCAGAAGATTAAGGGCAGGACTGCGAGATCCGGAGAAGTGAATGGTGAGATCGGGACGGGGAGTGAGCGAGAAAGTAAGGCGGCTGGCGATCCGATCCGAATTGTGGGGAAACAACATCACATGACTCTGTCGTCATTGCCTTTTCCTTGGAGGTTGCATCAGGCTCTCACATACAGCCACCAATTCCTCGCCCACACCATACCAACAGCATCATGGCCTCCGGATCAGCGCCCGCAACGCCCTTGCTCTACTCCTGTATCGCGTACAAATCCACCATCCTCGCCGAGCACACGACCAGCGCCATCAGCGGCACCAGTAATTTGAGTTCCATCATACTCCCGAAGATCTCACACGACTCGGCGCAGAAGCTCTCTTACACTCACAAGGACAACTTCATCCACTACATTGCCGATGCCGCACCCAGCTCTGCTTCGGCAGACTCTCTCTCCGCGGCAGGCCTCACCTATCTCGTAGTTGCCAAAGCAGATCTAGGCCGACGCGTGCCGTTTGGCTACTTGGTCGAGATCAAGAAGCGATTCCTCGCGACTTACAACCCGGAGAGCACGGACTTTAGTTCTCTCCCAGCTTATGGCGCTGCTGCCTTCAATGCGCCAATGCGACAGCTGATGGTCGAGTACGGAACCACCAAAGCAGGACAGGACGATGCTTTCAAGAACGTGCAGAGTGAGATTGACAATGTCCGAGGAATCATGACTGAGAAYATTGAGCGTGTATTAGAAAGGGGAGAGAGGATTGACTTGCTGGTGGACAAGACGGATCGACTGGGTGGAAGTGCGAGGGATTTCCGGGTCAAGAGTCGTGGATTGAGGAGGAAGATGTGGTGGAAGAATGTACGCATGATGGCACTTTTGACAGTTGTGGTCATCTTCCTGCTGTATCTCTTCATTGGTTTCGGGTGCGGCCTGCCAGCGTGGAGACGTTGCGTCGGATGAGCGGCCATGAAGGAAGTTTTTTCTTACGCTTTTGCATAGTACATAAGGCGTTCCAGCGGGAGTCTTGCCAGGAGATGATACCACAGCTATCGTAATCACATGAACTCACGAACACATAAGAGCGACATCTCAAGCACTGTCTCCCCAACCCAAAGCCTCCTCCAACTTCTGCTTGGAGCTCTTCCCATTAGCACCATCAAGCAAACCCCTCGACTTGATTTCCTGGATCATTTCCGCAAACTCCTCATTTCCGTTCTTAGCCAGCGTCTCAAATTCCTTCATATGCTCTTGCAACCACGCAACATCYCCTCCAGCAGGCGGAATCAAGAACCCAGCCTCATAACCAGCCGTCATTCCACCAAGAATGAACAAACCTCTCAACGAGTGGTCCAGATCCGGAGCACTCCTCTTAACCTTGGGCATCGGCACGATTCCATCCCAAGCCTTCACGACTTCGAGACCTGAAAGCGGAGGGTCAGCAGTGTCTCTGGCATTGACAAAGGAGAGGTAAAGCTTTCGAGGCCTTTTTCGAAGGCCTCAGCATTTCACTCCTTGTTGGCAGTATCCTCCCACTTTACTTACAAAGATCATCCCAATCCTTTTGTGTGCGGGAAGGACCCACGCGAACGTTGGCGATAATGAGATTGCCAGTGCGTCGCTTGCCGCCGATGTATGTCACTTGCTTGGAGGTGTCTGTATACTTTACATTGACGAACATTCGAGGTGTGCTGAACCTGGTGGAATGAATTGTGGTGATGGCTTCTGCGAGCTCGTSTTGTTGAGCATCAGTAAGAGGCACAATATGTTGGACGTCGTAGAAGGGCATATTGGCGCTATCCTAGTGCTGTTGAGAAACAGAAGATTGATCGTTGTCGGTGTAGATGTTTAGTTGATCAAGGAAGGTGCAACTTTCAACGCGACTAGAACGACATGGATCACTTGTTAACCGCGGCTCATTAAAACCAGGTACAAGCATGATGAATATTAATCATTTCGACGATCTCCAACCTTCCAGGTGTAGTTGCGATGGAGCTTGAGCTCAAAGCTTGATTGAGCTACTGTATCTGCAATATGTACTAATGCTCCGGCTGCCCGAGCTCAACATGTTCCATGTGTTATTTGTACATCTTTTACATACCCAAATGCCCCTTGCTGTTCCAGCAGTAAACGCCTTCGCCATGCATAACGTCGTATTCTATTCAAACAGCAAGAATCAGTGACTGAAGGGCYGGTAGATGGAAGGCAGTTGATCCGGAATTGAAGTCGCATCGACTGCATGCCTGGTTCGCTGATCCAGCTCATTAATTTCGTCAAGATGCTGCACCTGCTGCATCACATAGCTTTCAGGTTGCTGAATGAATAGTCCGCGCGACTCTCCAAATCCTTCTCCATGACATTGCTCTTGCTCGGGCTCAACGACATTCGAACCTTCGGGGGTACCCTCTCCCTGTTCCCGTTCGTCTTCCCACTGTTTGCGTTTATCCTCCCACCATGGGTGTTCCTCTTTCCACCACTTACGCTTCTCCATAACGCTTTTCCGATACCGGCGTTGCAGTTCAATTGGCAACCAGGAACTTTGGAACTCGTCGCGAGTGGGCACAGCATCTTCCAGCAAGTGGTTCCTGGCACTATCTGAGGCTACTGTTGCCTTGGATCCCTCGTCTTTGACATGCATCATATCCTGCCGTCGAAAATTGTTCAAGTCGTTGGGATATTGACTGACGTTCATTTCCTCCACCGTAGTGCGAATGTCATTAGCAACAGGCTCGATCCTTTGGTCTGAGGCTTGCATTTCTGACCTTTCCAGTTTGACCATCCTGATCAGATCCGTAGCAGAACATGGATGTGCCGCAATTGCCTGGCCCATGACATCCTGGAACGCGGTGCGATTGTTGCAACGGGTGCACAACTGCAGCATCGATGCGAAGATCGGCAAATCAATGACTGGGGTATTCCTCATGCTCGTGTCGGACCTATTCTCAGGCTTCTCCGAGGTGGTCCTCAATGCTGTAATCTGTTTCCAGATCGCGAGTCCCGCGCCCCAATCTCTTCGTCTTGAGCAGTCTTTCAGCAAAGGGTGAAAACCACTGATAGCCAAGCCCCATCCCTCTTCGCGCGCGGCTTCCCAAACGCGCAATGCGGCATTGAAGCCGCTGAATTTGATGACTCCATTGATCAAAGCATTGAATACCATGGGTGTGGGAGATGGACGCTGAATGACTCTGGGAGACTCTTCGTCTTTCAGGACAAGTCTTCCCTGACTTGACTTTGTTCTCTGGACGCCAGGCTGAGCAAGGAACAGACCGCCCCAATTCCCACGCATGAGCTCGACCCAGCGCTGAAACTCGTCTCCATTTTCATTCAATGTCCAGTGATTCAGTATGGACGCGAGAGAAATTTCGTTGTAGCGTATCTTTGTACACTGCAAACAGTCGATGCAGTCCTCCACCAGCCGTCGAGTGCCGACATCAGAAAGTCCAATAATGAGTGTATTGAACGTGTCTACGTTCGGCGGCGCTGACGAGACCGACAAATTGTGATATACCTTGGCCAGCATAGCGGGTTTAGACAGCACGCGCTTTCGTCCCAAGTCGAACAGATGCCGTAGAGAGCTATTGAGATCATGTGCCGTATTGTGGAAAGATCCCAGTTCGTCCTGAACGTAGTTGCATAGCGGCTCGTCTCCATGTGAGCGCTGCCAGCGGGCGAACTCTTCATTTGCGTGTTGCTCATCCTGGAGATCCAAGGAGTACCTGCCTTTCATGTGGAACACATCGTATAGATCCATGTGCTTCTGCGCCAGAGCTTTACGGGTATCTTCAACAGGCTGTAGAATATATTCCGCGTACCAAGAAGGTACAGCGCTCGCGGCTTCCTCGTGCCAGCCGTGGCGATGCAGCTCCATGAAAAACTCCAACTGCAGCGCATCGATGCTCAGCTGCACTCTTTCAATCTTTTTGGGGTCCCAGCGGTTCAACATATTCTTCGCCTTCCTGCGATTGGCCGTGTAGATGGACTGCGGCGGTAGTTTGCTTGGCAAGCGGCCCTGGCCGGTGCTTACTGGCCACTCGGGCATATGCGGTCTCAGAGGACTGCTATCGAGGTGCTCTCTCATGTCTGGCGTTGCAATCGTCTCCTGCTCCAGACTGTCCAGGAAGTCGCGATTGGCGACGGCGTCGTCTGATCGTGCCAGGTCTTGCTTGACATCCTCGATTGCCTTGTTCCACTGCTCTCGCCGCTGTTGTTTGATGCCCTGATCCAGAGTTGCGGCCACTGCGAAGATGCCAGAGTACCACAGCGTCGAACTGGTCCAGAGCCGCGGAGCTCGTCTGGTGGCGGTGGCAGCGGCGCGGCGGGCCACGGCGCTGGTCGATGGAAGGCATTGCGGACAGTGGCAAGACACCCGGACCTGCGCGACGCGAGTCCAGAGCGTCTGCATTATCTGGCCATGTTGTGATTATGACCTGCTCCTGCTCCTGCTCCTGCTCCTATGTTGCGCTGCTCTCGTCCGTCGCTAGGGGCAGAATCAATACTGCGGACGGGAGTCGTGACGAAGTCAATAGGTAAGGTGATTCGGAAAAGGGAATTAGCGTCCCACGGGTTTATTTGCAACATTGGCACTTCGCCAGAGCCATTCCTTCTTCATCTTCACCTCCTTCCACTCACTACCCGGGCTTTTGTACACGAATTCGTCGTATCTTCATTTGTACAGTGCTTTCGAAGTATGTATTCATCGTATCGGCCGTGTATGTCTTTGGTCAGTGATCTGGCCTTCGCGTATCTCACTGGTCACTGGCGTTTATACTACTTTGACGTGCGACCGGTGAACTTAGAGTCTTAGACTAAGGTAAGGTACCGTACCCAGGAACTCCCGACATATATCCTCCGGACCAAGTTCTCAAAAYCTCTTCAACTGGTCATGGCTAGACATTTCCATCAATACAACAGGATCAGCCACCATGCCTTGCCAGATTTGCCACGCGGAAGCGGACTACGAGATATACCAAACGAAGGACACCAAGGACCTCCCTAGCAAATCCAGCATCGATGGTGATGCCTCAGCAATTGCCTCTGCCACATGGCCTCAGATTGGGGAGCATCTGGTGGTTCTCACACGCGACTTCTTCCAAGCAGTCAACAACCGAGTGCTTTCGTCAGCATCCCCACCCTGGACGGCTACCCGGAGGTTTCACGCAATACCTGAGATTGTCAACAACGATGGGCAGTCCGAGTACGATCTGGAAGGGCACCTTGAGGCTTTACGTGTGATGTGTCAAATGCATCCCGAAATGCATGTGGACCTCCGGGACATGGTCGTGCAAGTCTCGAAAAAGACCCGCTGTGGAGAGGTATTCGTTCTCCAACACACCAGTGGACTCGAACCCCTCATCGATGGTAACCCATCTGTCGGGCGAGAATCGATGGGATTGATGGAGTTCCATTACGATCATCTTAAGGGTGGGAAGTGGCTTCTCACACGTTTCCGTTCAATGGGCGGCCTCTCCATGACTGATATGTGACGAGGGCCTTTCTTCGTAGCTGCCAATGCAAATTTGAGACTCCAAGAACCCCGAGAAAGAAATTCCCAATGTTGAAYGGTTGGAGGAGGTTCGCAGCGTCTCTTTGCATCGGRAGTTGTTCCTGATGGCCAAAGATCCGCTTTCGCTGCGTTTTTGCGAGACTTGATTCGCTACCAACGCACTAGAACTAGAATGTTAGAGAGGAGTCTGTAGGTCTGAACAACCTCCGACGCAAAGAGATGATTTATGTGATTCTTGACATTGGTGGGTCTGTCAATTCTGTCGATAGCAGCCAAAAGCAGTTAGCCGAGAAACAAGCGAACCCTCTTGCATCCTCCCGTTGAGTGAGTCTTTCCTTGTAGGACAAGTTGCAGTGAAAGCGATCGAAACGCGTCGAATCGCGTCGACTCACGCCTTTCCAGCAGCAAGCATCGCCTCGCGTTCAATGATTGTCTGCAACACATCCATGGTCGCCTGGGCAATGGGCAATTTGAGCAAATCTGCATGCGCTTCCAGAATCAGACACCTCTGCTTTCAGTCTTCTTGCCATACGGGAAATGATCTTTAGATCATACCCTCCCCMGGCTTTTGATCTGGATTACATCTTGTACGGCGGTTCTTAATGCAATGTCGCGCTTTTTCAGGACCGGTTCATCCTCAGAAGAATCCGATTCTACCAGTGAAGAGGAAGAAGAAAACACAGAAGAGATCTTGAACCAATCCCTGAGCCAATTACCATCACCAGAATTCAGCGGCGCCTCCCTCGAGTCCATTGCGGTCGACCGATCAGATCCCAATGCTCAGGACTTTCTCGTTCACGCCTTGCTTGAGGAACGCTGCCGAAATGAGGTCTTGAAGGAACGCAATGCGGTTAAGGACCCCAGACGACGTCTCACCGACGATGAAGTTCAGCAGGAATCTCAACGGAGATATCAACGTCTCTGCGCTCAACTCGCACCGATGAACTTGGTCGCTCAAGGACTGGAGCAGGACCGACATGGTGCAACGCGACAACGGGTGCGGGATGGATTGAATCGATTGCAACAGTCGGGTGCTCCGCAACCATCTTTCCCCGGTCCTTTGAGAAGACTTCTTACGGACAGCACCACGCAGGACGTTGCTCCTTTCGATGGTCTAGCCTCCTTTCATCAGCCGGTTGCGAGCCGCTATCTTAAGGACTACGACGAGTTGGGAGTTCTTGGCAGAGGTGGCTATGGCGAGGTGAGTTACTTCATGTCTAACCCTTGACGCACCAAGTCGTGGAATAAGCGACAACATGTGTCTAAACAGGCATCACCACATTTGTCATGATGCCTGGTTCACCCGCGGGAGGCACGAGATCACGCGTCACTTTTCTAATCAGAATTACTACTTGCAGGTTTTCCATGTTCGACATCGATTGGACGCATGTTTGTATGCTGTCAAGAAGATACCCATCAGACCTTCCATGGTGCGCCGGATCGCGACASAAGGCAACGCAGTCCTCGATGAAATCTTGGTAGAAGTACGCTCGCTATCAAGGCTAGACCATCCGAATGTCGTTCGGTATCATCATAGCTGGATTGAATGGTCGAGTGGAAGCAGTTTCATTGCCACGTCTAGTGATGATGGTCCTTCTGAGACGAGACAATCTGCAGACGCGGTATCTGGCGCTGCCGATGAGGTTTCCGCATCATCCGCCTTCGAGAGCCTGCATCGCGTTCGGACGGAGAGCACTACTGTCGAGGACATGGATATCGGATTCACATTTGAGAGTCGCTCTCAACACTCGACCGGCACCTACCACACGAACGACTCCCCCTCTCGCTCCGATTCGGACGCTGGCCCATTGTCGACAACCGAGTCTGTGCTTGCATTACACATGCAAATGGATGTATATCCAATGACCCTGGCCGACTTCCTCTCGCCGAAGACGACCGGWCCTGTTAAGCCTCTGGCTCACTGCTTCCATCTGGAACCTTCACTTCAGATTCTGCTCGCTGTACTTGACGGTGTCGAATACATTCACTCAGAAGGTATTGTCCACAGAGATCTCAAACCCGCGAACATTTTTCTTCGACCAGAGAGTAGCACCAAGAGTGGTTGCGTTGATCTCTTCAAATGTAGCACTTGCCAGGCTGACAATGCTGCCAATCCTGCAACACTGGGCGTACGCATCGGTGATTTTGGTCTTGTAGCAAACATTGCGCAGACCGGCAACATCAGTACATCCGAGCCTGTCGCGGTTGGAACTGAGATATACAGGCCAGTATCAACCAAGTCCAACATCAGTCCAAGGTTGGATATATTCGCATTGGGCGTCATTGCATGTGAGCTATTATGCAAGTTCAACACACAGATGGAACGAAGGGAGACTCTCCATGCCTTGAAGAAAGGCCGATTTCCCGAACGGTTCGCGAGCTGTGCTGGTGGCCAGGCTGGGCGGGTCAAGGAGTGTGTTGCTGCTATGCTTGGAGATGGAATGCCCGAAGAAGGCGCGATTGCGGATCTGAGGCAGCGGATCGAGGCGATTCTCGCATCGAAAGCCATAGGTGTTGAGGTTTCGTTCAAAGACTCGTCGCCTTTGCGTCGATCGAGTACTTGATGGAGAAAGTGCATGATACTGGGCGAAATGGATATACCCTGGAGTGTGGCAACTCAGTATATAGGCTACGGTGAATAGTGGCTGTCTGGCATGCCTAGTTACCAGCCAGCGCAAAGACATGTCCAAATGTAAGACAGTAGTCTTGGCTCTTAGGAAGATAAGGTACAATATCAAATCTTCCAATAACACGCTCCGTGGAATGTGCACGACATCGCGTAGAAGACTTATCATTTTGCAATACTGTGATACCTGCGCAAGTGGACCAACTACTTCCTACGACTGAGTCTGACTGTGACCCCCGTTTGCATGACGAACCACCAGCACTTTGTTTTCCACTCTGCCTTGGGATCGCTCAGCTCAATATCAAATTGGAGGAACAGTTCTGGAATGAGCTTCGACCTGTACACCACATTAGCCTCAAGATTAGACGCCTGTCCTCGAACCACTCACATTTCCATCCAACTGATATTCCTTCCAAGACACATTCTAGCACCAGAGCCAAATGMGAAAAAGAAGCGATGCATGTCTCCATTGTCTTCCTTCATCCAGCGTTCTGGGCGGAACTCGTCGACATCCTCACCATAGACCTCTTTGTTGCGATGAAGCACCCATGGATTGCAACCAACCACAGTTCGCGGTGGGAGATACTGTCCCGCGATGATTGCACCTCCCTCGGGTACTACACGTGGTAGACTCATTCCTACTGCTGGATGTAGACGCAATGCTTCATACATGACAGCTTGCAGATATGGCATCTTCTCGGCCTCTGCTAGCGTGACAGGTTCGCTGAGTTTGCCCTGCGATTTCAAGGTATCGATCTCCTCGATGAGCCGACGTTTGCAACCTGGGTTCTTCAGCAGATAGTATATGATCGCACGTGTAGAAATTGCCGTGGTATCGGAGCCCGCAAAGATGTTGGAAGTAGCCATGCTTGTTACTGCGTTGTCGTCCATCTGTGTCGGCTTTTCTTTCTGCGTGTCCAGAAGCTGAGTGAGTATGTCTTTGTGATCACTGCCGCGATCTTTACGACCAGCGATCTCCTTGACGGCAAAGTTACGAAGCGAGCCATGCCTGGCAGTGATCCCTAGATGGTTACCAATGTATGGCATCAGGAAGTCGTGAGCCCAGTAAAGCCCAGGAATCTGACCGATCCAGGCTGCAGAACGGAGTGCACCTTCAATCTGGGCGAAGGCTCCATCATCTTTACCTACGTCGAGGAAGCCGAAACGCTTGCTGAAGGTCACCTCGCCGATTACGTCTGTGCTTGTCAGTATGTAGAGGCTTCTATGCATCAACAAGAGCCCGCTTACCGAATGCGAAAAGCTGGACCCAGTTGCCAATATCCACGACTTGGTTTGTACGTTGGCTCATGTTATCGAGAAACACCTTGACGGCATTATCCACGTAAGGCTCTAATTGCCTCAGCGAGTCCATTGAGTAGGCTCTGCTGATCAAACGCCTCTGTTCACCATGAATCTTCTCATTACGTTCCGCGAACAGGTCAAACTTGCGATGGCCTTGCCATACAGAGTACCAATCCGATTTCCGAAACTTGGTTCCAGCACCGTAGATCGCTTTGATGGCAGTGAGATCCGAGACACTGACCTCGCTTGGTCCAGTTCGAACAAGAGGACCATGCTTCGCATGCAAGTCTATCATAGCGGTGTTGATGTTGCCATCCCAGGATTGTTTCGTAATCCATAAGCGGGAGATGCGTGCCCAGAATGGACCGGGTATGGACGACCATGGGCTCAGGAAGAGAAGGTAGATGGCATGGAGAAAATGCAAGCCGAGGGCTATGATGATCAGATGAGTAGGAGAAGTAAGCACATTGTAGATTGGTACGTCGTGAATTGCCATGATGTGAGTGGATAGAAGAATCAAGAAAGAAAAGGCAACGGACGGCTATGTGGCTGACCATTGATACATATATGGTACTAGTGTACTCCGCAGCGTGCGTATACATAAAATACGGCTCACCCGGGATGTAGCAGGTGAGTTGCGGCAGAGGAATTGATGCAGAGCATTTGCTGCATCAAGCAGTGCGTGAGGTCATACCTCGATCCGTGCCTCCGCGGAATCATGGCGGACAGAATTGATACCGTCCTAATACTTGATGTTGATAGAACGATGACAGGAAGAGATCTCGGATGGTGTTTACGGAACGCAGTGGCGGCTACTCCCGCCGTGTCGAACTTGCCGCATCTCTGGCCGGAACCAATGAGGAAAGAGCGGGGCAGCAATATGTGACCTCTTTGTTTTCGGCATCGTCTCATGGCATCTCTCCAGCACCGATCTGGCCTTGTGCACACGCATCCGATTTCCACAGCCGGTCTACAGTCCAAACCTCCCGCCCATCTTGCCGCGTACAAGCGCGGTTCCCCAAAGAATACATGTAGGTCCATCTTCCCTCCCTTTTCACGCTTTCTGCCATCTATACCAGCCTGCCCGTTTTAAAATCAAACCTTCGAATACCTACGTCACACAACTCGCATTGGCCGCGTCGTTCAACCTTCCCTCTTCCTTCCCTATCATTACTAGACGTACAAACCATGGTAGAGCACTACGATATTGTCATTGTAGGAGCTGGCCCCGTTGGCCTGCTCCTGTCGACTTGCCTGGCGAGATGGGGTTACAAAATCAAGCACATCGATAACAGGCCCGAGCCCACACTTACCGGACGAGCTGATGGAATCCAACCCCGATCACTCGATTTATTGCGAAACATGGGTCTGAAGAGAGCGATCATGGAGAATGAGCCTGCGAAGGTGTACGAGGTCGCATTTTGGGATCCATCAAAGGAGGGCATTCATAGGACAGGCACATGGGCTTCATGTCCTAAATTCATCGATGCGAGATACCCTTTTACCACTCTTCTGCATCAGGGAATGATCGAGCGCGTGTTCATCAACGATATCGAGAAGCACGATACACGGATACAACGTCCTTGGAAGATTACAGGGTTTGAGAACGATGGAAAGGATGCAGAGTATCCGGTACAAGTGAGCATTGCTCATGTGGACGGTGGTCAATCGGAGAACCTTCGCGCAAAGTACCTCTTCAGTGGCGAGGGAGCTCGCAGCTTTGTTAGAGAGCAATTGAAAGTGGGGATTACTCACAAAGATCCCATCGCACATGTGTGGGGTGTCATGGATGGTGTAGTGCGGACYGACTTTCCTGACATCAAGGTAAGATACTCTTTGTATTCAGTTTCGTCACTGGCTAACATGAAGAAGATGAAATGCACGATTCACTCTGACACCGGCTCCATCATGGTCATCCCTCGCGAGAACAATATGGTCCGTCTGTACATTCAGATCGCATCGTCCACTGATAAAGATTGGAATCCACGGAAGACTGCAACGACCGAAGAGGTACAGGAGAGGGCCAAGAAGATTATGAAGCCCTACTCCATTACGTGGGACCGTGTGGAATGGTTTTCGGTGTACCCAATTGGTCAGGGTATCGCAGACAGGTACACTTTGGACGAGCGTGTATTCATGGGTGGAGATTGCTGCCATACACATTCGCCAAAGGCTGGTCAAGGCATGAACACCGCTTTCCTCGACGCTCAGAACTTGGCATGGAAGATCCACCACGTCGAATCCGGATTCGCAGACCGCTCCATTCTCAAATCTTACGAGAGTGAGCGAAAATACGTTGCAGAGAACCTCTTGAACTTTGACGCACAATACGCGAAACTATTCTCAACCAACAAACCATCTGCGAGTGTCGTCAAGGACGCAAGCAACAAAACAGACAAGAACGACGGCAAGGATGCTGACAGTGAGGAGAATGAGTTCATCAAGACTTTCAAGGCGTCCTGCGAATTCACATCTGGATACGGAGTTGCATACCTCGAGAATGTCTTCAACTGGTCGGAATCGCATCCCGCACAACATCCAGCTTTTCTGTCAGAGCCCAAAGGCACTACCAAGCTCCGCACAGGACGGATATTGGTCCCAGCAACTGTGACACGAGTAGCGGATGCTAACGTTGTTCACCTTGAGCAAGAAATCCCCCTTAATGGCTCATTCCGGTTGTACCTATTTGGAGGCAAACCTTCTTCAACCAAGAAAGCCATTGCAGACTTTGCGGCGAACCTCAAGAAGAAGACATCCTTCTACTCCCAGTTCTCACGAGAGGATCTTGCCACCGTCGACTACCACGAGCGGCATAACCCTCACAGCAAGTTCTTCACCATCAACACCATTTTCAACGCAAAGCGCCCTGAGATTGAGGTTCGGGATCTGCTGCCTGATGTTCTAGCAAGGTACTTTGACCATGWGTATGCTGATGMTGTTTGGGACGAGCGTGTACCGAACGCCACAGCCGCTGCACATGCGAAGATGGGTCTTTCTGAAGAACAGGGCGGTGTTGTGGTTGTAAGGCCAGATGGCTATGTTGGATGTGTGGTGAAGCTTGAGGAGGGCAGCGGGACTGTTGATGCGATCAACCAATACTTCGCGGCATTCTGCACAAAGCCAATTGGCGGTGAGAGAGCGCAGCTATGAGCATGGACTTGGCCGTATCAAAGGAATGTATGTTTGTTTAGCGTTATGCGTATATACCAAATACATGTATTCATCGGATTTACGGAGATAAGTTTATGCGCTTTCCAGGTATATGCCTCCACGTGTGCATCGCGTTATCTTCTACATCGACAGCCCTTGTGGGCTCAACTCCTCAGCATGGTCGTGTACATAGCTGCGCAGGCTCTCTTTGATGGCATCAGCTCTGTGCCATATCTATGGACATTGATCAAGACTGCGCCATGGCTGGGATTGCTGTACCTCGTGAAGGTCTTCTTCTCAGGTGCCAGCAACTTGAGCGAGCGAAATATGCACGGTAAAGTGGTGCTGGTCACGGTATGGCATTCATCTTGAGGATGGGTGAAAGCAATTCTAGGAAGCTAATAATCACCATCAGGGCGGCACAAGTGGTGTAGGTGAAGCAACAGTACGAGCACTTGCGACTCGCGGCGCACAAATCGTCCTTCTCACCCAACACTCCCTGGGCGATCCGTTTATTGTCGACTATATTGAAGACGTCCGGAACGACACGAACAACCACCTCATCACCGCCGAGCAGGTCGATCTGACCTCACTGCACAGCATACGGACGTTTGCAACGAAATGGATCGACAACGCACCACCGAGACGGCTGGATATGGTAGTACTATGCGGCAATACGCTCACTCCAAGCAGTAGTAAACTGCAGAGCACCTCCGAAGGGTTGGAGCTGAACTGGCAGGTCAACTATCTGGCAAACTTTCACCTTCTCTCGATCCTCTCCCCGGCATTGCGCGCTCAGCCTCCAGACCGAGACGTACGCGTTGTTTTTGGAACATGCAGCAGCTATTTGGGCGGTGATTTGTTGCACATCACACAGCCCGGGCAAGGGAAAGCGGCGGCGAGTGGGAAACAGACGGGGAAGAAGGCAGGACAGACACAAGAGCCGACCAAGTTCTCGCCAGGCAATGCGTATGCCACGTCAAAGTTCGCTCTTACAACCTTTGCTGTGGCATTTCAGAAGCATCTGGCGGCGCACAAGCGGTCGGATGGCATGCCGAATAATACAAAGGTTCTGCTGGCAGATCCTGGTTGGTGYAGGACTCCAGGTACTCGAAGATGGCTCACCTTTGGGTCACTATTTGGCTTGCTGCTCTATCTAATTACCTACCCGCTGTGGGTGCTGGTGCTCAAGTCGCCGGATATGGGCTCCCAGAGCTTCCTCTTTGCCTGTATGGAGGAGAAATTTTCGCGTGCTGAAGGTGGAATCCTGATCAAGGAGTGCAAAGAGCGCAAGTTTCTGAGGGATGAAGTGGAGGATGAGGATGTACAGAAGAAGCTGTGGGAGTATAGCGAGCAAATGGTGCAAGAGGCTGAGAAGCGCGGTGCGCAGGAGCGGGCGAGGGCTAAGAAGGAAGCTGCGGATAAAAAGGATGAGGAAGATGCTGTGAAGGAGATGAAGGATTACAAGGAGAAGGTTGGTAAGAAGGATGGTCAGAAGCAGGATGGCAGCAGGCGGAGTAAGAAGGGCTGAACATTGGGGGAGGATCTACGATTGAAGACCAGTGGATGGAGCCTCCTGGCGAAGGCGAGAAATGCCAGCTCTTAAGCAAGCATCCAGCTTCGGCATGTCGTGGAGGATCATTGCAGACGCGAACCAGCCACGACCAAGGCTTAGAAGCGCATTCGTGCTGCATGCCCGCAATTTGGAAGCGAAGTAGCGAAATCCAAGGGAGGCTTGTGACGGCGGGGTGTACGCAGGTCAAGGCATGAGAGCAGGTAGAGGACGCCATAGATTGAGAAATTATAAAGAAGTATCCATGGTCAACCGCGACATCTCATGATTTGTGCGTCCACGAAGGATTCCGTGGAGTGATTGTCGAAGGGCTGCCTGAGGACGAGAGCTGGATGAGCCGGCTCGCGACAACTTCAAGGCTGAAGTGCAACTTCTCGGAGTATGAGCTCGAACTCGCAGTAATCGTCGAAGATGTATGCTCCCTCTCAACCTGACGACCTKGCCTCGCTCTGTTGTCGTGACTTGGCCAATTCGAAATGCTTCCCCGCGACACCTCCGAACCTGAAATCTCTGCGCTCGCATTTTCCGCCAACGTCGGCATCCCATGCGCAAGGGCAGCGACATGGCGACTTCAGCAGCATGTCGAGTCGACGGTGCTGAGGTATCCAAGTTGCGTATCGTCATACCTTATGCCAACCAACGACATTCTTGACCTGCCAAACATGGCTCGATGTTCCACTGTTATTTCAAAGCTCTTCTTCAAGACACGATGCAAGATCGCGACTTGATGAAAAGAAAAGACCTGTCAGACTACTGACAGCACCCTCCTGCAAGAGCCGGCACGAAGCCAGCGCTCGAGCAGGTTGAGATCATCACCATCAAGCAAGCTTGACACAGCGGCATCACTCTTGGGCACCGCAGTCAACTCATCAGCCAGGTTGGAGTCTGTGGCTCGTATAGAGAACACAGTTGTGGACGTTTACTATAGAATAGATTCCATGAAGTCTGATTGGGTGTCTGTTAGTTTTGGGGGCGAATGTTTGGGGCATTGGTTATACTCACAAAGTCGACATAATTTCTCCAAGAAGGCGCTGGATTTCGGATTGTTTTATAGAAATGAAAATTCGGGCACGGGCCCATGCCCAGGACTTGCTGGCGTGCTACAGCTCGCGCAGATGACAAAGCTGGGTGGGAAAAGTGGTTCGGGGAGCCAGTGGATGCTCAAAGCTTCTTGCAGCAGAAAATTTCACTGTTTCGGACCGCGAAGGCACCGAATCCCAGAAGGAACTTTTCTCTATACGAGCTCGTCATGCTATCAAACTCATACCAACGTGTGATAGGGCCAGTGCAGAGCATATACAATCGTCGTGGAAATGCTCATTTTCGCATTGCCAAGGCTGCCTTCCCCTTTTGGTTGGCGGCTTTCGGCTTCTCCCGCTGAACGAATGGACATTGGACAAGGCGACACCTCACCTCAAGCTGACACCACTCCATCACCAGGTAACTAGCACGGATCATGTCTGTTCGGAACCATTCTCAGATCATTCTACAATCGCATGCTTCCGGGAACCACTGTGTCACTCCTTCCGTTGTCAAACAATCCGCTCGCACGCTTCTTGCCAACTACTCATCCCGATTGTCCTTCTTCCCAGCGAGCTTACCCATTCCAACAGTAGCGAAGACGCGATCCGAGATGTTTTGAAACTCAAACCTCTTCTCTGGCGAAGCGTCGACGTTCTTCACTGAAGACTCTGGCTGCTTGCCTAGGGCAGCAATCTTACGATTGATGTTCATTTGTTTTTCCTCGTTGCTGACCCRCGKGCGAGGAGCCTCAAGCCGATTCTCGACGCTTACTAGCAGACAGGCCAGCACTGATGTCCTAGACGATGTCGTCGTGGCGGATGATCGCAAGACGTGGAAGACTACTGACAAGCACATACTCCGTACCGCTTGAGCTTAGGATCGTGCTGTGGCGGCTTCTCGTTCTCAACAGCGGAAGTTCGAGTAGGCAACACTGCAAGTCGAAACGGCAAAGTTTCATCTTACGGGGGGAAAGCGGTGAGCTGGGAACGACGGACGTTCACGTCTGCCAGCTCTGCTTCCAGTCTCTTGGAATCGGCCAGCTCAGCGGCTTGTAGCGCACGAGCGGGATCCTCGGCCGCGATGCTGACCTTTTGATCGTCCATCGAGATGCCATCGATGCCGACGGGAGTTCTTGGCCTGCTGTCGAACTCAGTCTCCATCGGGTCGAGGCATCATCGAAGAAGCTTTCGACGGGCTCAGACGCTTTTGACAAGCATCATCCGCCTGGATCTTAGCTTGCTCTTCTTCCGCCTCAAATCTCCCGGATCCTAACGCCGCACCCGACGCTGAGCTCCCATCCATGACATCATTTCAAGAATCTGCAAAGCTGGAGGTTGTGCAACGCCAATGAATCAAAGGTCAACATCTCTCACCATTAACGTTCGTCCACCATCTTAAGTGCTCCGAGAGCTGAGGATTTGAAGATTGCCGGCTCTCCTCGTCATCAAGCGACGACCACGCTCAGTGATCCGGTAGCTGTGGTCACCAAAATCGGCATTGGTGCGGAAAGCCGACTGTCTTTCCGAATGAAGTCCTACTCATCGTGCTGTTGTTCTTATCGGATAAACTAAGTTTTTGGTTGCAGCAGATAGGGCGGCAACATTCAAACTCGCTGGCTCTTGCTCCTTCGCATTCAACCAGACGAGCTTGAAGTCACGCGAGAAGGAGGCTCACAATGTCTCGTAATGACAATGCCCTGTGCAAACCAGTTTCTGCACAACAACGAGAAATCATGAAAAGTTTGGGCAAACAATCTTCAGACGATAAGGAGAGCCCTACAGCCAACAGCATCTACAAAACGCAGAATCCAGCTTTGACCCTTACACACGACAAACCAGGCCATGCACAAGCTATATACATCGCAGACGACCAATAGCAAAAGATCACACAACTCCTTCCCGGCCCTTCCCGGCAGGAGGGCGAAACCGAAAGAGGCATTGCAAGAGGATGTAGGCGTGGTCAATCACTCAAGAGATATGAGCGCTGCCTCGCAGTACGACGAAGAAGGCATTCATCTCATCAATGAAGACCAGTCAAAGACTACCGAACAGAAACGATGTGCTGCGTTTCTTTTTTTTTTGTGCATCGACTTTGAGATCTGGTTGCCAACGAGCCTGTCACAGAAACAAGACGCTCCCGAAAGCTAGTATCCGGTGCTTCCGATCCAATAAATCTGGAGTGACTAAAACACTAACAATCCGGGTCTCTAGGTGGCCCCAAATGAATCTTTGGGTCGTCGTCAAAAACAAGTGGGTCCGCAAATTTTAGCGTGTCCTCAAATGAAGGAATTAGGTATATCACCTCCGCTTTCGTCGAACTCCCTCTCAGTCTTCTTTTCCTCCACTACCATCAAGCATATCGCGAATTTCTCAAACCACTTCCACTGAACACAGTGCTACATTCTCAAACCACTTCTACTGAACACAGTGCTACGTTCTCGAACCACTTCCACTGAACACATCGCCACGTTCTCAACCCACTTCCACTGAACGCATCGCTACGTTCTCGAACCACTTCCACTGGACACATCGCCACGTTCTCAAACCACTTCTACTGAACGCATTACCACGTTCTCGAACCACTTCCACTGAACACATCGCCACGTTCTCAACCCACTTCCACTGAACACATCGCCACGTTCTCAACCCACTTCCACTGAACGCATCGCTACGTTCTCGAACCACTTCCACTGAACACATCGCCACGTTCTCAACCCACTTCCACTGAACACATCGCCACGTTCTCAAACCACTTCCACTGAACGCATCGCTACGTTCTCGAACCGCTTCCACCAAACACATTGCTACGTTCTCAAAAAATAAAATGGAGTACAACGCGCATTCACACATCTCCATCGCTACATCAGCCAACAAGGAGCAGCAGCCATGGTCGGAAGCGGATGTCTGTGGAAGAGAGGAGTTATCGCACTGGGACAAGCAGCAAGAAAYCATCAAGAGGATCGACTATCATCACGCCAAGTGGATCGAGGCATGCAATGACCTACAAGTGCTCAACTCGCCCCCCGAAGAAGCCGAGCGATCGCCTTCCGCCGACTCCGGTATATCGATGAGCAGCCCTCCGAAGCCATCCTTTATGAGGCCTACGCAAGCATTCAAGCACAAGACACTTACGGATACGCCACTCGAACTGATCAACTGTTCATCCGGTCTCACTGCCGCAGGTGACTCGAGTCCGAAAAAATCACGATTTCAGCCTCGAGAGAAGCACATCAGAGACGAGAGTATTATGAGGGATACTGAGGCCTCGCGTCTTAAGAAGCTCTCTTCTCACGGCAAATCTCCACTCCAGCGGACTGGAGGAGCCTGCGACGACCAGAGCTGGCGAGATCTTGGGATTGAATTCACGGAAACCTGGATCTCCTCCGACAGTAAGCGTAGCAGCGACTCGGACGAATACGGGAACCAAAAGCCAAAGAAGTGTTCCGACTGCGAAGCGCGCGCTGCAGCCGAATGCGCTGAATGCAAGGATCGAGTGAAAGCTGGGTTCAGACCCTTTTGCTCGAAATGCTATGCTCAGGAGCTGGAGTACGCCGATCTGCTCGCCAGGACTCGACCCGTTAAAAACATGCCAGAAGCACCAGAGGAGAATCGAGGTCCGATTCCTTACGACATCCAGCTCGACTATCAGCAACGATGCGAGCACCTCGCCAAAGAAGCTCTTTGGCTCGCTCTCCGCGAGCACTGGCCCGAGCATCAACAGGAGAAATTCCCCGAAAGCCCAGAACAGATCAGATTTGGGTTCACGGAGCTCTACGAAGACGGTTTCGGCGATTCGAACTACCCAAATCAGTGCCTCGATTTGTGTGGGCAGACACGATACACCATTTGGTCTGCATTGGTTCGCATGATAGATTTGCGCAACTGCATTGCACACCGACAGTACTGTTCGACGGCCAAACTGAGCGGTTTGATGGAACGTGCACGGGTGCTGATAGTTGCCGTCGGAAACGAGGAGCTTGCCATGGAGGTCAAAGTCATGATGGAAGAGGTCGAGGAGCTTTCCAAGGCTTCGGGCGCTGAGATTGCGAGCAATTACCAGATGGTCCTTCGTGGCGAAGACGTAAAGTGGAAAATCTACCATCAGAACTTCTTCTTCCGCAGTTGGATTCTCAAGGACTTGCCGGGAGTCATTGGTCAAGCGGCAAACGCCTGGCGATCCATCAACAGGATTGTTGGCGAAGATGAGGATTTCGCTGCGAGGGTCAAGAAGGTGAAAAGTTGGACGTATTGGAAATACTGCGATCGAGAGGTTGCAGAGAAGAGCTGCTACGCCGATCGCGTTGATGGTGATAGCGCTGCTGGAGCGATCGTCCAGGAGTTGCCTGAGGACACAGCTGGAGAGGTGGATGGGTCGAGCAGAGCTGGTGAGATCGGCGTGCTCGTGAAGGACGACTGCCAACATAGCAGCACTCCTACCCTCTCGCAGACCAAACGGGAGGTCAAGGAAGTCCCGATGTGGCCTGAGACCAATCGATCGACTTATGGAATTTGAATCACAGTGCTGGAAAATACATGAAGGGCGACGGTGCTAGGATTTTTCGATTAAAATACCAAAAATAGACGATAGCTTGACTTTGAATTGACCTTTTTGACATCATGATACTTCACAAACTCGTTTCCCTCACATTTCGTATCCTTCAGACGTGCTTCGGTGATGTCTGACAGCTGCGTTGGTGTCGATCGAATATCAGGGTTAGGGTTGGGGTAGCTGATTTTCCTAACTACGACTGCTTAGTAGGAACGCAGTCTCCTTCGACTTGCGGTTATGTCGACATTGATGTGATGTGTTGTATAGATAGCCCGACTTAATCAGTCAAGGAAGCTCGTGCTGGGCGATACGATAATTTAGAGCGAAATGTTGGTCATTGTTCTCACGTCTATGCGAGCCGTGCCATATATCCTGCACGAAGTCAAAGTCGACAGCAACACACCGTAACCAGTCTATCGCTCGTGGATGGAGAAGAATAAGAGTGCAACACGGTCACTGAAGAAATAACTTCGTTTCAGGTACGCTCATCAAAGCTCTCGCAGCCCCCTCATCCTTCCATCGACCACAGCACTCTACCCATGTCTTCTGCATCTCTCTCATGCCAACTCAGTTCTAACACATCTACTCCCCCATGACACCCCTCCCAAACCACTCTCCAACAACCCCAAACCGATCTCTCTCACTCCCCCTCAAACTCTCGACAAATAACTCATGCCGTCCCGCACTCTCCTTCTGCGCCTTCCTCGTTTCCCTCAAGAGATAGTTATTCTCCCTACAAACTGGACACTCGACCTCATTCGCGTCTTGAATCTCATCATCGCTCGTCGTAGGTGGCAGATTCAAACAACTCTGATRGAAACTATGCTTGCACAAGAAATGCACCGTGGGCAAATCCAATGTCCTCCCACATTTTGCGCAACGCGTCGCGCTGAAACTGACGGGTTTGTCGCCGAGTTCTTCTAGCTCGGTCTGCTTCTGCAAGGTATCTGAGCGGTATGAGGAGATGAGTCGTCGATTCGCCGCAACTTCGCTGCGTTCTCGAGAGACTGTTGTAAGGAGGAACTTCTTCACGAGGCCCATCGTTGCGACTGCATTGTTGGACAGAGTTTGAATGACCTGCAGTGGAGCCATGAGTCCATCGTCGTCGATCTTCTTCAAAACGGCATCGACTTCATCCCCAGCTTCAGCGAGGATTTGCGGAGAGGATGTAAAGTATGCTAATGCGGCTGGGTAAAGCTGAGGCTCATCAGCGCCGTACTTTCGCAGCGCAGAGATGGCGCCTGCAGTGTCGCGAGCGGCTGTATATGAGCGGAACAYATCAAAGCGCAGTCCTTGTTTCTCGCTCACAAGGATGGTTCCTGACCGAAACTTTTCAAGATCTGACAACAAAAGGATGTTGGAGGTGTCAATCGGCGCGTCTGCGTCTGGATTCTCGATCAGAGACTTCGCCTTATGCTCCCAAGAAGACTTTTCTTCTGCATCCTTCGTATTGCTGGCCTTGTGGAGGTACATCTCAAAGAGAGTGGTATGCAAGTCAGACTTGTTGGCAGCTTCAATGCCACTTTCGCCGACTACGGCTTCCAGGAAGACGATGAATGGATCTGGGTGATCGATGAATGCCGAGAATGCAACGCGGGGTTTGGGAACCTCGTACTCGATGAATTCGCCCTCAGTCATGCTTTCCACCACCTGTGCTTGGCTCACAGTCGGCTGTGATTCATCCTTTGGAGTCTGTGGAGTAGTTGTACTCATATATGGTAGTGGGATGAGGGCAGCGAGGTTCTGTGCAGCAGTGGTTGCCATTGTTCCAAATCCACCCTGCTGCTGCGTCGCTGGAACTTCTTGAATCACCACCGCATCAGCCTTTGGTTTGAAGTTGCCGGTGAAGTAGTCGATGAACAGCTGGGTTGTGTCCTCTGGACAGTGTGCAAGCAGAACAGTGCCATACTTCATCAAGTTTGGATATGCTTCCTTTGGCTCCAGACGGACAATGTACGCCAGTGCTTCGGCATACTTCTTCAAGTCTTCGATAAGGATGTCAATGACTAGACTGTGTTCATCATGCCTCCTCGCTAGAAACGCCGCCTGGTCGTAATACCCGCCCTGCCTACACATCAAGATGGCAGTGTCCAGGTCAAATTTGAGCTCACCGGGCTGTTTGATGAACTCCTCCAACTTGTCGACATCCTTCAATTTCGCATAGCAATTCAACAACAGCGTAGTGTGATCGGAAGTTGCTTTGTGGTGTTCGTGAAGCTCCTCGAGATACTCAATCAGATTCCGTATTCTCTGATTGTCCAAGAACTTTCGGATAATCTGTGRGGGCTCCGTATTGTCGATGGCGAGTAAATACTGCTGCATGGCGGTGTCATAATCTCCCTTTTGATACAGCCAATCACCCCATCTTCGGTGAATGACGTTCTGCTGCACGGCCTCAACCTTGTACTTCCGAGCGAGTTCGATGGCTAAGAGGTAGTAGTTGTATTGGTATAGAATCTCCAACTTTTGCTGGAAAGTCTTTTCGTGGTATCGGTAAAGCTTGCCATCGATGGTGAGAAGAAAGATGTCGCCCCAGATGTTGAATATGTGGTTGATCTGGTTTGAAACAGACTCGGAGTGAGCAATGAATTTTAGATCAGTGTCCAGAATGGTGAAAGTGCTGGTGTTGAAGATCTCATCGGCTCTGGTGCCTGCAAAGGCTTTAAGACCCGTGGCGCGGCCGATGTTGCTGGCTGGTGGAGAGACGACCAACACATAATCCTTGCTGACACCGACGAGCTTCTTCGAGCCCTCGTAAGCATATGAATTCGCCTTACCCCGAGGCCCATATGTGTAGATAGCATCATCACGAGCGACAACAATCTCATTGGATTGAGGGTCCAACGTCATGCAGCCTACAGCACAGCCATTCTCGTCCAGTGTACGAGCAGGAGTACCTTGTGCTTTCCCGGATATTGCGAGAGCCAGGATACGGTTAGTCGTGGCAATGTAGAGGGCGGTAGTGTTGGCTTCTCGAAATTCCAAACCGGTAATGGGCTCCTCGGATTCGAAAACAGTCCGCTGTTTGGTTCCTCGATCGTGAATCAAGTCGCCTCTGACAATGGTTACCGCACCATTACCAAATCCCACAGCGAGCTGTGCAAGGTCACTAGTAGCAGTAAATGCGCTGACAGGAAAGTTCTTCCTGCCATTCTGCACTGCGAGACTGCAAAGACATCTTGGGTTGCCAGTCTTTTTGTCGTTTTGATCCAGTGTCCAGACTTTCAACTCAGGTTCTTCAGTAAGAGTCTCGGATAGGGTGAGCAGATACTGTAGTTCGGGAATCTGCTCGATGTGTGTGACGCTTCCTGCATCGTGAGCTTTCCAGGACCGCGTCGACTTAAATGACTGATCCAGGAGATGCACGTTCCCACTCGCAGTCCCGACAAAGATGTTAGCTGTCCCAGCCGCAATGGAGGTGATGCTCCCTTGCTATTACAGTCAGTATGTAGTTGGGACATCTCGAGAAGGCGCGTACATCAAGCTTCAGGCCTCCATCACCGTCTGGGAGGCGGACGTGGGAGACATCGAAGAAACGAAAGGCTTTCCACTGCGATTGATTAGCTATATGGGAAGAGCGCATCAATGTTGGTACCATACCGATGTCAAAGCCATTTCATCGAGCCATGTCCGGGGTTCAGAACATGTGAGAGTGGAGGAGTGAAGCGATGTTGGCGGAGAGATTCTTAGTAACAAGCTCATCACTAGCGCCATGCGCGTCAACTCGAAGTTGGAGCTCGCGCTGTGCAATGCAACATCCAACTCAATCCAAGTATCATCTAACTATGGAGGAAGACGACGACGACTTTTACGGCGGTAGAGGAGAGGAGGGAGAGACGATGGAGGTCGAAGCGCAGGATGCGCCGGTGGAGAAAGTGGAAGATGGCGAGTCCGGCAGCGACGAGGAATCCGACAGCGACGATGTACATTTCCCTTCCACTGGCTGGAGGATTGGACCCAATGCTGACGGATCGCAACAATAGGACGTGCAGTTCACATTAGAAGCGCCAGCAGGAGCAAAAGCAGAGCCGCCGTAAGTTGCATCGATTTACATTTCGATCACACTCTCTAACAGCACCACCAGTCCAGGATCAAAAGCAGCGCGGCAACAGCAATCCGAGAAGAAAGCACAGCCCGATCGCCGAGGATCCATCGAAAACTCCAAACCTGCCAAATCACAAAAGACCGAAAGATCTTCATCAACAACAAAAGCAGAGCCCGGCCCCGCAGTACCGACATCTCTCACACACAACGGCCGCGAAGGCAAAGACTTTCCTCAAATCCGCAGCTCAGACCCCGTCGACGTCAATGGCACACCCATATGGCCCGCAAACGGTAAACCCATCACAGCCCTAGACATCGACGCCGACCTAGCCGAACACTCCAAGCCATGGAGATTACCAGGAACCGACCAGACCGATTTCTTCAACTATGGCTTTKATGAGTACACATGGACACAATATACTCTACGTCAACAGACTATGGGTAACACAATCCAAGACCTCAAAGCGGAGGACGCAAAGATGAAAGCCATGTTCGCGGGCGGACCGGGTGCAGGAGGACCTCCAGGAATGCCGCCTGGAATGCCGGGAATGCCACCGGGGATGCCCATGCCCAACCCACAAGAAATGCAACAGATGATTGCGCAGGGGATAATACCGCCGGAGTTTGCGGAGATGATGATGAGCGGAGGGATGCCTGGGATGGGAGGTGGTGGAATGGGAGGAGGAATGGGACAGCAGAATCAATTCCAGCAGCAACAGCAACAAGGGGGTGGGTTTCAACAAGGCGGTGGCGGTGGTGGTGGTGGAGGATTCGGCGGCCCTGGGCAGAATAGTGTTTCCCCTCATCCACAACCTGGCCAGCAAGCTTTCCAGCCGCCACAGGGTCCTGGTGGTGGACAGCAGCAGTGGGGTCCGCAGCCTGGAAGCGAGGGATATAGTGCGCAGCAAATGGCCATCATGCAGCAGCAGGAACAGATGGGTGGTGGAGGCAGAGGGCGTGGCAGAGGGCGACGGGGTGGATGGTGATGTAACGACCAGGATATGCTACGATATTGAACACTTTGTCCCTCTCCTGGGGAGATTGATCATTGCTTTACTTCCCTTCAACAACTATGAATTAACTAGGCACGTGGAAGTCAATGAGTGATGCGGTTTGCAAATTGAGTCAACATCATCATATACATCAGGGTATCATAAAGATCTACAAAGACTTCCCGCCAACAGGACTCTTCTTCTTCACAGCCCTCAACCCAGGCAACGCTCCATCCTTCCCACCCCTTCTACCGAGTTCCACCACCACAAACCTGATGAAGTYTTTCAAACCCCAATAGCTCGAATGCGCACCCAGCATAGTCAAATACTGAATCTCAAGATATCCACCGCCATATCTTACGTAGAAATCAATCTGACCATTATCGTTCAACAACAACATTCTCTGCTCGGCGATCTCCTCGCGTGTGAAATCGTGAATCTCAAGTTCCACAGTACTCGGAAGTCGTGGAAGCGGTGGAGGCGCGCCAGTGAGGTTCGGACGGCCAGAGAACCATCGAGTTGTGTTGGATGTACCCGCTGCGAACCAATAGCCCGGTGTGTTGGACGGGACGACGGCTTTCTTGAGAGAGGATGCGAGGGACACGTCCACGGTTGCATTCATTTGGTAGGCGACGGGATCATAGCCGTTCATGATGTTGTAGATGTTGTCGACTGCAATGCATCCGTATTGTCCTTTTTCGCCGCATATAGTGGGATTGTTGGTAGATGGATCCGCGAGGGCTTGAGGCGAAGGGTGATGCAATCTTGGGCGAAGCTGTGCGCGACGGAGAAGTAGGAAGAAGCCAGCTGGCGAGCCTGCTAGGAAGAGATTGTGTGTGTTGAACAGGAGATGGTCGAGATTTTCAACATCAAGGTCGAGATTTGTCGGATCCGACAGATGCTGAGGTATTTGCGTGGGCTGTTTCGACAATATGTCAATAGCCATGACGCTACCCAGAGAGTGAGCGATGATGTGCACCTTTCCGTGCTCGGCGAAACCAGGATTATTCTGACACCAGAGTTGATAGACCTTGTTGGCTTCCCTGATGACTGCTGCAATCATCTTGGGCTGATGTTGCGACATGTAATAGGGGATGTCGAGCATGACATCGCTGACAATCCCACGTACGGACGGTAGAGTGTCCGGTGTGATGTCCTGAAGGGTGAAGCTATTTGTATCGTCTGGCTTTGAGCTGGCAGGATCGTCCTCATTGCGATACCCTCCCTCTTCGAATGACAGCTGATGTCGCCAATTTACGGGCAGGACCATGATCCCACCCATGTCGTCGCGGAAGTGGGTCTTGACTTCTTTGTTCCCGCATTCGACCATGATCTCTCTTCGGAAAGCATTGATGGCGTGCGTGAAGTTGAAACTTTCCATGCGCTCGCTCAATTTCTGCCCGATGCCTATACATTGATGATTAGCATTGTCCTCCTATTGATCTTCCTACTGAATTACCGTGAATGACCAGCACCAGTTCCGAGACTACCGGCCGCTCGCTGTTGGCCAACTCAGGATCGTTCTGTGATCGCTTTTTCGCATTCGGTCCGGAAGACGAGATACCATGTTGTCCTTGTGTCTTCCTCGTGTTGGTCTTTGGAGGATGTAGCTTATCCCATATGGCTTGGTCGAATCCGCGAACCACAGGGATGCCAATATTGTGGCCTTTGCGAATGTAGTTGGCCAGGGGTCTCCTCCCATAATATGCCGAGGGCATCAGTGTAGGTTTTAGGATCTTGGCTTCTCTCTCATTTGCATAGATCACTCCACATTGGGCGTACGTTCGCACAGCACCCGCTCGACCCCAGTTTGACACACCCACAGCTTTGTTATCGGAACCACCTGGACCGGTCGAAATGTCGATGATGTCCATCGCGGCTTCAACAGCTCTCTCACGCTGTTGCTCGGGTGTCTCGGGCTGACCGGAGAACAAATTGGCAGCGGCAGCACGCACGAGATTATCCTCCCCAACATTGACTGGCGCCTGCCGACTGGGAGGTCTGCTGTCGGTCACTTTCATGGGAAGTTTCTCAGGCCACAGCTTATGTACGATCTTCGTCTCCCCGATGGCACCCACTTCGACAGCACTGTTCAACTCATCTTTCCATGTCTCAGTCCAGCACTGTAGATCGACGTATCCAGCTTCCAGCATGTTGGCCACCGGTGTCTCCACCGGCAGCATCGYATCTTGGTAGAACCACGTCCCACGTATCACCTGTGCTGTATCATTGACTGGCGCCCAGTATATTGGTGTCATCTGCAGATCAGGCATTTCCACTTGATGCAGCCTCGACACTCCGACGGGAACCTTTGCAGCGGGACTTTTCTTTGATTCCTTCCGCGGCACAGGAGCTGGGCTACGATCTGCTAAATGTGATGGATCATCCCACTCGTAGGTGTCATGTTTTCTAACCTCTGGCCGTGCCGAACGCTCCTCGAAACGCTGCAAGGGAGACGGATCGATCTTCTTCCTTGTGGGAGCTCGTAAAAAGGGCGTGCCCGTCGTATCTGGACTTGCCGAGAGCTCAGTTGCACTTGCCAATACATCTGACGCCTCTTCACCTTGAGGGAGGCCATTATCATGTCCCAGACTTGAAGCGGCTGCTTTGCCTGTCCTGGTTCGCGGCGTAGCTTCTCTCGAGCTTGATCCTTGCCTCCTCTCTCTCACCACGGACGAGCTGGCCCGCGGTCGAGTACGACTCCCATCCCGACTACTCTGCGGGTCCTTTTCGCCCTGATTCTCATGATACTTCAAGATCTTCCGCCGTAGCTCATTCCAGGCCTTATCCAGAGCAGTGTTGTCATAAGTGGAGAAGGGTTTGGGTTCTTGTCTCAAGGTAGCACTGCTGACACTGGTATAAGGCGGCAGAGGAGCAAGCGGATCGTCTATGGGTGCTGGAGAGCTGTAGAAGAAGCGGGCAGCGATCGGCGGAGGTGGGTCCGTATGGTGCAGTACATCTCGAATGTACTGATTCGCTGAGCTGCTCATCGCTTATGTCGCGTCAGACCGTCGTGAAGGGAAGGATCAGGCTGATGAGGCAGGAAATGTGATGTGATGATCGGGTATCAGTGCAGCGACTTCTATCAAATCCCGGACCGACACGCTGCTCGTGGTGTTGGGATGTGCGTTGCCGTCTTATGCGGATGCCTGCTTGCTGCTCCTGCTCCTGCTTCTGCTTCTTGACGTGGCAGCAAGGAACCACGGGAGCTCAGATCCGCCTACCGCAACGCCGGCCAATTGATTCCACGAATACTCGCCGCGACTGTCGCCTCGATGAAGGTGGGAGGGTGGGTCATCTTGCGAGTTTGGTGGTTGGAGTGGGATTTCTAATCGGAGAATACAAGATCAACGGGCACTTTGGTCGTCGTTCTGGTCCATGCGTCGGCCATCGGCCAGCATGACGCACTCTCGATCACATGAATGCGAAGACCAGACGTTTGTGAAACATCGACGCTGATGCTGTTTATCAGACATCAAATGAGAAGTTTCAATCGATGAACGTTTTTGATCTTTGTTGAATAATCGATAGAGTCTAGATCTGATTCGAGTATCTCGATTCATTGTGCATACTGTACTCCTAAGTGAGGCTCGTCGTAATCTCCATACTTGGTCAGACTCTCTACCAGGTATAGAGATTACTTTCCCCTCTCCACATGTACACAACAACAGCATCACAACGATCAGCAACCGGAAAATACCACACTCCACCACAATGGGCGCCTTCCGCACAGCAGTCATCCTCGAAATTCTCGCCAACATCTCCTCCATAATCCCTCTAATCCTCAACCCCGATTTCGCCCTCTCCTTCCTTGTCACAGGTCCCTCACAAATCACACCCGCAACCCGAACTCTCGCACGATACTTTGGTGGTTTCGTAGCAACCATAACTGTGCCTCTACTGCTCTCCATACCAACGCCGGCTCCAGGGCCGGCAGGAGAAGCTCAACGAGGCACACGGCGGACAACGTATCTCACTCTTGGAGCTGGGGAGGTAGCGCTGGGTGGATTGATGGCTTGGGCGTATGCCACGGGAGCGGATAGTGGAATGACAGATATGGCTTTGTTGGGAGGAGCAATGAATCTGGGAGCTTTTCTCATCATGCGATATGTGTTCCTATTTGGCAAGCCGGAGTTGTTGGAGGAGAGGGGAGTGAAGAAGACTGCTTGACATGTGGAATGATGGAGGAGAGCAAAATCGTGTCGTTTCGTTTCATGCTCTAAATTGTCTAAAAGCCAGACAGAGCGCATTGCAATCGCAACGCCTCCCACAATACGCACGGCGCCAATAAGTGGTATAAACTACAAAACTTTCCTTTCCTTTCCTTCACCTCGCTCTTCCTCATCTACATCATGAGATGCTGACCTCAACACGACCCTCGTTACCTGGACCACCCTTGGCAAGCTCTGGGAGCAGGTAGGTGATGTCGTCCCAAGGATGTCTGTACAGGCCAGTACGCAGTCTCTTCTGGTCGAGGAAGTGGGCAATCAGACCAATTGAGCGACCGAGCACGAAAAGACCGTTGAGGACACCCATCTTGAGGTAATCCTCAGCCTCCTCGTTGCTGAAAGCACCAGAGTTGCGAAGAAGATCGACGAAGCAGACGGCGACACATCCGTCGACGTTGAGGATGAGGTTGTCCTTCTTCGAAGTGGTGACGGATTCGACGGCGAGAGCGTAATCGAGGAGCTTGGTGTTGGGGAAGTTGGCCTGGCAGTACTCCTTGACGAGAGACACACGGAGATCGGGGTTGTTGCGAGACTTGACACGGTGGCCGATACCAGGGACTGCAGACGGTTAGCATTGTAAGTTTGTGTACTGAGAAGCGGGACTTACTGAGCTTGTTCTCCTTTCTCATCGTGTCGACGAAATCACGAGGGCTGAGACCCTTGTCAAAGGCACGGGTGAACTCCTCAGCGGCACCGTCAAGGGCACCACCGAAACGAGAACCAATGGTGAGCAGACCAGCAACCAGGGCGGAAATGAGATCCTTGCCGGCACGAGTGGTGATGATGGTGTTCATGGCACCGGAAACGGCAGGACCGTGATCGGCAGTAAGCATGAGGACCATCTCCAAGAACTTGCTCGCGTAGTCTGGTAGTCTGCGGCGGAACCAAAGCAGAGACATGACACCACCGATACCAATGTTGTCGCGGAATACGTCTGAGATGGGCAGACCAGCGTACAGAAGCTCCTGGCCACGGTCGTCGGAAATGGTAGAGATGAAAGCAGCTGGCTTACGGATGAGACCCAGCTCCTGAGCCCAAGAGTAGTCGATTGGAATCTTGGGAACAGCTGGCTCGGGCTTGGGGACAATGGATCCAGCCTTGACCAGCTTCTGGTAGACGCTGGAGAGCATCTCAGGGAGCTCCTCGAAGGTGTTGGGTACGAAGAATCCAGCCTCACGCATGCTCTTGTTCTTGGTGACAGCAGTCTCAAGCTCCGAGTTAGCCATGGAACCTGCGTGACCGAACTGCACCTCAGTCTTGAGCATGCCAGCAACGGTACCAATAGCCCAGGCGACAATCGGCTTGGTGATGACACCAGCCTTGACAGCCTCAATCACACGGTACTCCTCAATACCACCAACCTCACCGAGAAGCAGAAGGATCTTGCACTCTGGGTCGGCTTGGTATCGGAGCATGTGGTCGATGAATGTGGTTCCGGGGTATCGGTCACCACCAATGGCAACACCCTCGTACACACCGTCGGTGTAGTTGGCGACCAGGTTGTTCAGCTCGTTGGACATACCTCCAGACTTGGAGACGTATCCGACCGAACCCTTGCGGTAAAGCTTGGAGGCCACAATGTTGTCCATCATACCGCCAGTGTTTCCAATCTTGRACGCACCAGGCTTGATGCCACCAACAGTAGCTGGACCGATGATGGTGACGCCCTTCTTCTTGGCTACGTGAAGAATCTCACGTGCACGCCTCTCTGGCACACCCTCGGCGATGATTGCAATGGACTTGATTTGTGGGACTTGTAGGAGCTCCATGGTGGAGCTGTAGACGGATCGGGAGGAAGCAAAGTTGACCACGCAGTCAACATCGCTGTGCTTGGCCATGGCCGACTCAACGGACTGGTAGACTGGGAGGAGAGTCTCGGAAGTGCCCCAGTACCTGTCATGGTGTCAATTTGAGCTCGCAGAATTTGAGAGCTTTTGTGACCTACATCTTGCTGACGAACTGGCCTCCGAATGTGTAGATGATTCCAGCAACGGAAGGAGTCTTACGCTTGCAAATAAAGTCGAAGTCGAGCATACCCTGCACGGCCTTGGTCTGCATGCCGCTGTGGAGAGGTCAGCCATTGCCAACTCCGCTCAGTGCGTGGGAAGGCGCGAAATGAAGACTTACTAAACGAAACATCTCGTCTTTGGGTGGAAGAGTGTGTGTCCGGCCTGTGGGCTCAAAGGTCTGCTGGGAGCTGCGAATCTCYGAATGTTGTCGTTTGCTGCAAGATTCTTTTCGTGTCCATTGACACCGTTCGAAGCTGCGGCAGCCATGATTGTGGAGTTACTCCTCGACGGCTTTCCCAAAGTGTTCTTTCAAAGAGAATCTGCTGCGAGTTGCTGACAGTCAGTGTCGTCCTGCGGAGTTTTGCAAAGTGGTGTGCTGACGCTTTCCGGAGGGATGTTCGGGTGATGTGTGTTTGGAGGTGGGTGTGTGAGCTGACAAGAAACCAAAGCTCCGAATTTAAATTTGGATGCTTCAGCTTGCCTTGCGGTGTTTCAAGGATTGGACTTACGACACGAACACTTGTTTGACAATGGGGAGGATTGGAGATGGTGAGAGGAGGATGGATGTGAAGGGGTGAGTAGGAGAACAAGGTGGGAGCTCAAGGCACAGAAAGCAACACCGCGTTGTCAAATGTTGATCTCAACCAGCACGCATTGAACAACCCGCCGGACCCTTACAGACCTCCCGATCATGCAGCGCTAGAGCTGTGGCTCTCGAATAATTTCACCGAAAGAGATCTGATGGGGATCCGTTCACCAACACCCCACTGGTCGCACTGAGCGCTCGTTCTCGCTTTCCTCCGACTTTTCCATGGAATCCACTCGGATCCCCTCCACAAATCGTAAGTTGTTTTTGTACAGCAATCGCCCAAAAAGCATTAGGCTCAGCAGCCGACACATGGCCGTGGGCCGACGAGCGACTATCTCTAGTGGCCGCTGTCGTTTTCGCATTTCTTCGATGAGTGAGCACACCGCCGAAGACCTCCGCATGGATTCATGATTGTTTTACGGGGAAAGACATTCGAGACGAACGAAACGATGCGGGGAGAGGAGTTTCGATGGCGATGACAGGTTCGCTGAGATGTCCGAGCAACTCCAACAATAGCAAATCGTTCAAACGACCGTCAGATCCCGGTCGGAACTCCTCCTGCGTCACACAGCAATCCATTGTGGGATTATTGGGTTGAATAATTTGCTGGAAGTTGAGGAGGGGGGGAAGAGAGGATCGGCGCCGCGGGAGCTTCACGTTCGCGACCCACCAGTTGAAGGTCCCTGCCGCAGGGACCTCCAAGAAATGAGCCCAACAGAAAAGTGATGATAATCGTGTTACAACTCACGACCAGAAGAGTCGTGCGCGTATCCCGAAACCGAATCCTCGTCTCAACAGTGCTCTCATCTTCCTCTTCCCTCTTCCTCTACACACACCGTTTCCTCGCCATTGGCACCTCTCCCTACCCACGCCATTGAAAGTTCACCCACCAAAGGTATGTCAATCAGCCAGCTCTGAGAGCTTCCATTGGCGTCACCCTTGTCACCATGCTGCAACGGACCGCATCGGACAATATACACCGACAGCTGTTGCTTTCGGGTCGTTGTGTGCAGCAGCAGCAGCAAAAATCGTGTCGAAGGGCTGTAAAATCCGCCGTGACATTGACCTTGGTACCTTTGGTGCAACTGTGCAAGTCCGAAGCAGAAGCACCCTCCCTCACATTCCAGCTGGAAAAGATCTAGCTTACGTGGTGTACCGCACGAGCAATCCCTCCACCATAATCCGCCGCATTATAGCCAAATCTTTCAAGTTGAAGTTCAGCTGCTTACCAGAAACTCCATCAGCTATCCTCCGAATCACAAACCCTTCATCACAATGTCCGCAAAGTCGATCCTCGAAGCGTACGTTCTACCTCCAATCCTCTCTCAATGGCTCTTCTCTACTGACAAGCGCCCAGCGATGGCAAGGCCATCCTCAACTACCACCTCACCCGCGCTCCTGTGATCAAGCCGACTCCTCTCGCGCCTCAGTCCACCCACAACCCACCCGCAAAGCTCGCAACCATCACATTCGCAGACGGCGACGATGTCAACGGCGTGCTGGACGCAGCAGAGGCCAAATACCCCTTCCTCTTAGCTCCAGGTGCAAAATTTGTTGCGAAGCCCGATCAGCTGATCAAGCGACGAGGCAAGTCTGGGCTGCTCAAGCTCAATGCAACATGGCCAGAGGCCAAAGAGTGGGTTGCTGCTCGCGCAAACAAAGTCCAGAAGGTCGAGCATGTCGAGGGTGCTTTGAGGAATTTCCTCGTTGAGCCATTCGTGCCTCACCCACAGGAGACTGAGTACTACATCAACATTAACTCCGTCCGCGAGGTATGCTTGGCATCCAGAATCTGCAAATTGCCGCATTTGCTGACTGTGAAATTTCTAGGGCGACTGGATTCTGTTCTACCACGAGGGTGGTGTGGATGTTGGAGACGTTGACGCAAAGGCCGAGAAGCTCCTGATCCCCGTCGATCTGGCAGAGTACCCAAGCAACGACCAGATCGCAGCAGGCCTCCTCTCACAAGTGCCCAAGGGTGTCCACCCGGTCCTCATTGACTTCATCTCCCGCCTCTACGCCGTGTACGTCGACTGCCAGTTCACCTACCTTGAAATCAACCCTCTGGTTGCCATTCCCAACGCCGACAAGACCTCTGCCGAGGTGCACTTCCTCGATCTTGCTGCCAAGATTGACCAAACTGCCGAGTTCGAATGTGGTGTGAAGTGGGCCATTGCACGCTCTCCAGCTGCTCTCGGAATCCCAGTTCTCGCCTCGAAAGACACCAAGGTCCAGATCGATGCTGGCCCACCAATGGAGTTCCCAGCTCCTTTCGGTCGTGAGATGAGCAAGGAGGAGGCTTACATTGCTGAGATGGACGCCAAGACCGGTGCTTCCCTCAAGCTCACCATTCTCAACTCGCAAGGTCGCGTATGGACATTGGTCGCTGGTGGTGGTGCGTCCGTTGTCTACGCCGACGCTATTGCATCCGCAGGTTTCGCATCCGAGCTTGCCAACTACGGCGAGTACTCTGGCGCACCAACCGAGACCCAGACTTTCCACTACGCACGAACTGTCTTTGACCTCATGCTGCGGGCACCTCAGCACCCCGAGGGCAAGGTTCTCTTCATCGGTGGCGGTATTGCCAACTTCACAAACGTAAGTTTTGCATCTTCCAACAGAAGGTATTGCAATGCTAACAATCCGGTCTAGGTCGCAAGCACATTCAAGGGTGTCATTCGTGCAATTCGCGAAGTCGCGCCTCTCATGAACGAGCACAAGGTCCAGATCTGGGTCCGTCGTGCGGGTCCCAACTACCAGGAGGGTCTCAAGAACATCAAGGCCGTCGGCAAAGAGCTGGACCTCAACATGCACGTCTTCGGCCCAGAGATGCACGTCTCTGGAATCGTTCCATTGGCGTTAGTTCCTGGCAAGATGAACGACTCAATCAAAGAGTTTGAGGCTTAGAGCGGTGGAACGAGACGATTGCGGAGCATTGGGTGTGAATGATTAGAATTACGTTGCGGATATCCTTGCTTGTCTATGTGGGCTGCTCGGCGCTGTGGAGATGAACATGTGAGCTAAAAATCATGAAGTGAGCGGAGTTGTTTGCATATGAAATATTTACATACCTAGATTGAGTGAAATCGTTTGATGAAATCTCCTATAATGCCTCATGGGAAAGTAAGGGTCCAAATTACTCTCTCTACATGAAAATGCAAGGCCAACGCCGGTATTTTTTTCTCGCGGCTGCGTCGGCCTGCCCGACCTAGCAGCAGCCGCGCAATGCAAAAAGGAGCAATTAAAATACGTGCGTTGTTACGTTACGTTATAGAGATACGACGTTTCGGGGTTCGCGACAACGACTTTTTACAAGTCACCGTGATCAAAAACGCCCTCCGAGCGTGACCAAGAATACTGCGAGAAATCCTCGTCCGTGAGGCATTATAGGATAGTCCCGTTTGATGCTCCTGTGTCCTCCATCTTGCTCTCGACCGAACATTGTCTGCGGGCCGCAGCTGCTTAGTCACCCTCTTCCACCTGCCTCGCGACAGAACGTCAAGTCTCTCTCGAACAATACTCCACCAATTAACACCGCCAACATGAGTGTACGCCTGCGTAGCGCACATTATCTTAACATCTCTAACGACCTCACAGTTCATCCCACTCAACCCCCGCCCCATGCTCCAGGGCCTCGTAAACAAAGAAGTCATCATTCGCATCAAATGGGGACAAGAATACACCGGCCGTCTCGTCAGCGTGGACTCATACATGAACATTCAACTCAGCGGCGCAAAAGAGTGGAAAGACGGCGTAGATGCGGGTACCCTGGGACAGGTCTTGATTCGGTGAGCAAAGGCACACAATCACATGCAATAAAGTGAGAGAATTCGGCGAACTGACGAATGTATTTTGATAGGTGTAACAATGTGCTGTGGATATCGGCGCACGATCAAAAGAGTTCGAATGGGGATACGAAGATGGAGGATTAGAGGGACTGGGAAGGCTATGGATTGAGGATATCTTGTGGATGGACGGGATGGCGCATGGAAAAAAGAGCTTGCGCGCGGGATTGATTTGCGACGTCGACATGGACTGCCTTGCAAGGCAATTGTGGCGTCAAGACAGCGAGGTGTGCTCCAAGTTGAGCGCACGTTCTGAAGATGCGCTGGAGTGAGAAGATGAGTTTGGCGCAAAGGGCGTTCACATCATGAGGAATGGGCATGGGCTGCTAGGTCAGTAGCACATCCTACCAGTGGCTTTATCTTTCAATTTGGCTAAATCAGCTTCGTGCAGAGATTGAAGTATGTCGCGAGAATGTGGACGAAAAGCGACTCATGTATCATATGGGGAATCTGTATGCTGCCTACTAAGGTCGGTACTGTGGACCTATGCTGTCTTCCACCATGCTTTCCATAGCCCGGCGTTCCTGTTTCGTGACTCATATCTCATATATCTTCTCAGACTCTTTCATGAGGCTGCACAGCACGAATCTGTTCCATGCTCGGTCGAGCACTCCGCCATTCTCCATCATGTTGGCCTGCATCCGCCTGCCTCAATTCCCAGCTGCCCGTCCTTTCATGACCATGTCTCTCTACTGTAGCACCGACCACTGCGCCACCCTTGGGGATGCTAAGGTCTTGATCACTGGCCATCTTCTGGCCTCCTTTGAAACCTCCCAGGTCGCTCTTCCGGCTGTTCTTCCCATTCCGATGAAATCGCACGCCGGCAAGGAGCATCACCGCTCCGAATATCAAAGCTGCAACCGCCAATGTCACCACCGCACCAATAATTCCCGCCACCACCGGACTCAAACCGGAGTGGTTCCTGGGTCTCTCCGTCGTGGACGCTGTGCAGAATGAGGTCGCAGAGCCGTTGTTCCCGCACAGAGAACACCAGGTTTTCGTCCCTTCAAGCTTGATGTTGTTCATCAACTTCACGAAATCCAACCAATTCATATCGAATTGCTCCTTGGGTCGATTGAACAACGAATAGGCCTGTAGTTCATCGCCTGCTTCCGTTCCGTTCCGGAACATGAACCGTACGAAGAGGTCTTTCTCCTCTGGGACTCTGGCGACGGAAGCATTCGCCTGGCTGAAGAGCTCGAACACGAGGCTTGCGCCGAACTCGGGCATACCATACTATAAAGAGATGTCCGTTAGCGTCGCTACTCAAGCAATGTGTGGCTTCCTCCAGCCTTGGACATGTAGAAGATACTCACAAAGTTGGTGCTCTGCTCCTGAAGGTCTGTAAGAGCGAATAGCGACATGAACGGCTGGTAGTCTGCAAAAAATAGGTTGAGCGGTTGGTAAGTATCGGTACCGTAGACCGCGTCTGCCAGTCTGGAATATATGTTCGTTGCTAGGAAGTTCCCGGCAATAGTCGAGATGCTGCCTTGAATGCCAGAAATGCCAGTGCTTCCACTTCCTCCTGTAGCTGCATTGGACGCAGTCATGTTCGCGTACATGCCATATACTTGTTGATCTGCCAGCTCTTTCAGGGTGTTGATATAGCTTGTATTGGTCCCTTCAACGAGCTCATCTAGTTGCCGCTTTGCGGCTTCGTTGTGCTCGTACTTGTATCGTGCWTAGTCCCAGACTAGGTATGCATTTTCGTAGTTCCAGTATATATCCGAAGGGAGTACGTCGCTCAGGAATCGACTTCCAACTGTATGGTAGATATCTGCAGTCTTGTCGCGGGTTTCATTGGATTGTTGGGTGTAGCGAGAACGATACTCGGCGAGGCCGAACGATCCACATGTTGAAGCAGCGTTGAGGTAGATGGACATGGGGTCCCAGCCTGCTTTTGACGTGGAAATTTGAGGGTACTGGTAACCACCAAAAGGACCAGTGACATACGAGCCATTGTTCAGAGAGGAAGTCAGGTCAAGTGTACTGCTCGTGTTCAAGTCACCGGTACTGGGATAAAAGCCCTGGAGGAAAGCAGTTGCAGTCGCCGAATTCCATTGCTGATCAAGGGCACTTGCGTAGACCTGTCTGTTGCTGTATATGTTGGGGTCGATTCCAACCAAAGGTGCTCCAGAGCCACCAATACCATTCGAGCCGTTCTTGAGGAGGATGTATCTTTCACGGAAGAACGTTCCCGCAGTGAATGCTTGATTCGCACCCACCGAGGTGAGCTTTGTAGGAATGTCACTGACGGTATCCGGAGAGCGATTGCCTGTACGCGTGAGAATGACAGAAGACCAGACAGTGTAATTCTTCTGCTGGTCGGATTGATCTTGAGCGTAAACTGGCGGTGTGAGTATGGCGGTAGCAGCAATTGTGAGAGCCAGTGCCAGCATCTTGGCGGTAGAAGTCCTGCAACGAGGAGCGCGTCTCAAACGACTCTACTCGTTCCGAATCTTCAGCCGAGAGAGAAACACTGTCCACTTACCTCTTCATGCGGACGCGGGCTGGGGTTTATCAGTTTGATCTCTTATCGCCGCACAGCCATGACGCTCAAAGGATGAGCCCGACCTCGTGAGCATCTGGCGCCATGTTGCCGTGCATGAAGTGCCTGATGTAGACCAAGCTTGCCCACATCCAGACTTCCAAGAGGTGGGGTTGAAACCATCAGAGGAGACTTCGATAGAAGCTGCATGTGACAGTGGGAACGACGAATGGGAGGAGGCTGTGGTTGGGAAACCAGATCCTTCGAGGTGACATAATCAGTGTGCTCTCGGTCCAGTCGCAAACCTTCGCTTCATCTCCGCACCGCTCGTCAAAAAGGCAGCACGTTGTTGTTGAACGGGACCAAGAAGGGCCCCATCTCACACTGAGGGCCGCAAAACTTTGTCTGTTACATCCAAACAGATCAATCACGGTCCCTCCAGGCGTCCGGTCATCCTTATCGGGTAGTAGAGAGGCGCAATGTGACCTCGCTCGGGTTCTTCAACGAGACGCATAGTGTTTCGGCAGTGAAAACGTGTAGACTCTGATGATCAGTGATGGCTTGGGTGTAGCCTAGCCAAAGTGGAAACCGCGAACTCCAAACGAGATCCGCTCTTCGAAAAGTTGCGGTTTACGAGCAGAATCATGTATATGCTTTCCGCCATCGTTGGCGCCTCGGCCAGTCCGTCCGCCAGTAGCGATCTCCTAAAGAAAACCAACACCGCTTCCTGACTCTGCTTCTACTTCTGTCTCGCAAACGATTCAGAATCTGTACGCAATCGCAGTCAGAATCCTCTCCATTGTAACGTCGTTCACAATGGCATCCTACAGCATGCCTATACTGTCGATTCCACTCTACTATGCCTTAGCAGTCTTCCCACACGGCTGGGCAATCAGCAGGGCCAACAAACGGGACATGAAGCAGCATCACAACCAGAATCCCAAGGTCCAAAACGCGATGAAACTTTGAGCCAATTCAATCACTGATGGAATGCAGGCGTCTTCATACCATGAAAATCTCAAGAAGAGATTGACCGCCCAGGAATTTGCCGCATTCGAACGCGCCGAGTCGTGTCATCGCAACCACATGGAGAACATGCCATTGTTCGTCGCTGCGATTTTCGCGGGTTTGCTTGCAGAATCGAGGGTGGGAGTTGATCAAGTCGGATTGAACACCTTTGTGTATGGCTGGATGGCTGTGAGAGTTTTATACACCGCCAATTACCTGACGACTGAGACGAGAGCATGGAGCTATCTGCGGAGCATTCTGGTGAGTAGCCTTGGATGCGAGATGTTTGGTGGGCATTATTGACAATTTGACCAGTACTTCGTTGGAACTGGATGGGCGTTCTCTGTCCTGGGACGCTCGGCACTTGTTCTAGGGAACTGAGGATGCGGTAAGCAGCTCTGCGATGTAGAATTAGTCCAGTTGTATCTTAGGAGTCGACGGGAGACTTATAAAAAAAGGTTTTGCCGCCTCCGTCCTCTTTGCAGAATCGAGAAGCGGCAAGCGATCCCTCCTTCACCATCCATCAGTACTCCACGATTGCACCACATCCACGACAGTCAAAGCTTCTGGCTTCAGAACACCCATCGCGACAGAAACCTCTCGTCGTAACCATCTAAGCCAGCTCTCATCAAAGACGCGGCAATGCAGAACCGCGAAAGGAGCAGTACAGCCAGACTGCCGGCAAGCACAAGAGAGCAGACAAGCCAAAGCTTTGAGCCTCACACAAGAGAGGTCCCGCTCCTTGCACTTGTTCCCCAGCAGCCAACATGTAGCGCAAATCCCAACGATTCGCACGCCAGGCCGAGTGTCGATCACTTCAGGCGCAGACAGCTCGAGATGCATTCACCACGAAATGGGTAGACCTTCGCCGCCAGTACCACAACCATTCGCTTCATGCAGTCGCTCAGTGTTGCCCCAAATTCCGGTACCAGAACAACCGATTCAACGCCTCCCTGACAAGTCAGCACGCAGATTGCCTTCCTCCCCCAGTCGCAACACAATACTCCCCCAAGAAACCAAGTCGTTTCGTCAGTCACATCAAGCACAAATTCGGATCTCCCAAACGCTGTAATCTCTCCGTGTGTGTATAGCAATCCCGCTCAGAGACAGGTCTTTGATTCCATCTCTCCCTCGACCGCGGCGTAATCAAGACTCCGGGTAAAGTTCGAGAGGCGGTATGCCTTTCGGCGCAAGCGGACARAGTACATCTACAAAAGCCGCTCGCCATCCCAATGTCTGGGGTAGCACTGTTAATCTGCATATAACAGAAACAGGCTGGTTAGGTTCGGCGCTCATCGATCGACTTCCACTCTGGCTGTGGAAGGAGATGATTGACGCGACTGATCGGATATCCTCGAATGAGAAACGACACCTGTAGCGGGATGCTTCGGTGTGTGCTTTGAAGCCATGACTGACTGCAGTCAGGATTGGAGAGCGGGTGGCTTTCTGCAGAACCAGCGTAGTGATTGTGAGAAGCATGCAGGCAACTTCGCTGGAGTCGAGCGCAGTGATTGTAATCGGGGTCTTCCGAAAGGACTTTTGATGCGTACTAGGAACGACTCGCGCTGGCGGGAATGAGTGGATACAAAGGGGGCAACATCTGCTGCAGTAGGCGGGCAAAGGTTGCAAGCAGGGCTTTGGAGGTACAACAGGGTTGCAGGAGCTATGGCATGTCAGACCTTTTCAGGTCGACCGCGCAGTGCTGGAAGCCTCTTTGTGGGACCGACCACCTCGCTACATGCCACGGATAGCGCTGACATGGTGCAGACGAGTGAGATCAGTCAAGTAGAAGAGGCAACCAGACCGCGCAGTCTGTGTGTAGACTCAGACTCTCCGGAGAGGGAACTGTCATGCTCTGCCCGCGTCCTTTCAAGCCATACGAAGCAGCCAGTGCAGCGAACCACTAGCAGGCACCATCCAAGGTGCTAATGCAGCAACCCTGAGCAGACTCAGAACCCAACGATCGGTATCCAGCATTGCAGGCCCGTCCAGATGACACGAGACCGCACCGCGTCAAATAGCAGCACATGAAGATCCTAAAGACATCGCCAGAATAGCGCTGCCCGACACTTCTCACCCGACTCTCTTCCTTTCTGCACCAGCCTGGTCTTCCAGAGCTATCCATCCGTGATCAGAGCAAGAGTCCAGCCAGCAGCCTCGACGCGCGCCTCCTCAGAAGTCTTACCAAACCGACGCATGAAGCCACTGTATTGCCTGCCTCTCCGGGATGGAGAGACACCGGACATGACCGGCAACTCTTTCATCTTTCTTCGTCGTTGCCCGTCCACCAGTTTCGTCCGCCCCGCTAAAAGCAGACTCCACTGGCTTCGCAGACTTGGATTTCCAAAAGACTAGTTGAAGACGCCAGCTGCTTGTCTTCGTCCTGAGAGGAGTAGACGTCGCGAGACCTGTAACCGAAAAAATCGCTTAGGGTTAAGCTCCCCGAGATACCACATCCACTCCAACAAACGCTCCATTGGGGACAAAAATGTGGTGCCGGTTGTCCGACAACTTCGCAAGATGAAGGAGCGCAGCGTGAGCTGTTGTCCAATGCCACCAAAAGCCGCGAGGCCATTGTCAACATCGAACGATGGGCACACGGAGGACTGTGGGGAGGGTGTTTGCTGTTGGTATATCGATGAGAGATTACGCTTGCTTGAGAGGTGAACGTGGCGAGATGGGCCGGGTACGCGACTTTTGATGGTGACGCGGAGGGTTGCTGTTTGGACCAAGATCGGGCAGAATGCGGGCTGTGTCGCGAGGTGCGTTGATGTTGGATGGGAGAAGGGAAGACGCGGACGCGCAGAAAGGAAGAGGCGGGGCATCCGTGCATGGGCGATCTTTGTCGCGCGCTCACGTTACCRCTATTTCGGGAACAGGTTCATTTTGAGGCGACAATATTCTTTGACGATTCGATCTGAGGGGCTTTTGGTATTTGTTTAGTCTGTTGAGCTGCGTCTACTCCAAGGCTGGGTCTTGCCTGTGATTCTTGCCAAGATTGCTCGTTCTTTCCAAGTCGCGTCACGTCCAACGCGTCGCTGCCTGGAAGCTCTATGAGCGAGTCTTGTGACGACACAATGCAACCCATTATCCGCGATTCCGAGGACGAAGACGATGAGGAGTTCCTCATTCCTGAAGATCATGCTGTCACCAAGCCAAGTCAGCAAAGCAACAGTTCTTGGATGGTCGCGACTGTAGACGAAATTCTCGCTCAACACACATCGCAGGGAAGCGAACGCGCTGATCGAAGCAGCCTGTCTACTCGTGAATAAAAATGATCGATCGATACTGTCGTGGTGGCTACTGACATGTCCAAGGAAATCTACAGAGACAAATCGCGGATGCCGGCCGTGGCCTCTTCGACTCAACCTCAGATCAGGTTACGATGGAGGAACATGCGTCGAATACTTCTTCCACTCCAACGGCGAAGAATGGTCGCCGGCATAGCGCTGTTACCGGATCTACCAGCTCTGCGAAGGCGACTGTCAAGCGTACCAAGACTGGCATCATCACATACGGATCAAGCAAGAACACCCGGCCCAGGGAAACCGACAACTTCGGTGCTTTTCAGGAAGAACCACTTCCAGGGACTTTACAGACAGACTTCGCAAATCATGAGCCTACCATCATGTTCAGAGATACTGGGAGCACCGTTGCGGACAATGAATCATCTCAGCAGCGTATGCTCGAACAGACCATCAATCAAGGCAAACAGCTGTCAAATGCAGCCGACCAGAAACTCATAGACTCCGACAAGCTAGAAAGTTCACCATTTCCATGGACCGAGTCCTCAGTGCCAACACAGACGCCTGGTCGCATTGTGAACAAGCAACAGCTGCAAGAACAGGACATGGTGTGTGAAAATGTCGAGACTCACACAAATTCACGGCCTGACATTGTGGTCCGTTCTGAGGCCTCCATTGCCGATCAGAGCGGCACTGTAGCCAGGGACGGCGCTGGGTTGCAAGAACAGGTTCATGGCTCAAATTCACCAGATCCAACAGGAGGGGCGAACAGCCTTGTCTCGGTTGATGCTCCAGTCTCTCGAAAACAGTCGCCGCCAGTTCACTTGGAAGAAGCTCAAATCGTTGCCAAGGGTCCGTCTCAGCCAGCGAAGGCACAAGAGCCTCCGAACTCAAGCCCACAAGTTTCCATACCACGTGTGCGTCTCAAGTCAAACAATCAGGCATCATCTCGTACAGACGATGTTCCCAAAGGTCGAAAGCGGAAGGCAAGTACGGCCGCAACTCAGCCATTGAACTCAGACGACCGGGCAATCGGCCTTCCGAAGGAGCTTTATCAACCTCGACCGAGCCGTCGGAGAGCGACTGGTCTCGTTGAACAGCCGCAAGACTTCTCTATCATCCCAGAGAAGGCGGCGAAGAGACGAAGGAAGACCGCGATTGCAACATCTGCTACCCCTGAGATCGCCGAGGACGAGCTTGCCACTGATATAACGACCGCCCCACAAGCTGGAGCCGCGCTCAAGAGCAACAATTTGACAGGCTCTGGTGCAAGGACTGTTGAACCTGCAACGACGAATACTGTTCAAGCAGTGGAAGAGAAGCCTCAGCCCGGTCGAGGAGAAGTCAGAGCGCTTCTAAAGGACCTTGACTTCCCACTGACCACAACGTCCTTCGATGCTGCAAGAACAGAGATTCTCTCGCCGACGAAAGATGCGTCTCCTCTCTCTGTAAAAAGAATTTCCGCGGTGGCCAAGATTTCAATGGCCCCGCCTTCCTCCCCAGCCATATCAACATCACCAACCAAGAGGATTTCAAATGCCGCCGCAGCCTCCGCCATGCCGCCTCCTAGTTCTTCCGCTAAGAGGACATCAAGACGAAGTCACACTACCATCTTTGAAGACCACGTCGAATTTGCCGGATCGCAGCAACGTTCTCCAAGTCTTCGCCAGCAACAGGCGAGCAGAAAATCGGCGGCGCTCGAAGAGGTCAAGCACATATCGACGCAGGGCGCGCGCCGCAAGCGACGGACGATTTTGCGAGACGAGGCGGACGATGAAGACGGTGAGGACGAATTAGTCCAAGATACCGTGGCCGAAGTGCCCGTGTCGAAGAAGCGTGGTCGCCCTGCCAAAGCGGCTGCAAAGAAGCTGTCCCCTGCAGATCGAGTGCTCCAGGATTCTGATGCCGAATCGGACGATGAGGAAATCGTCGAACCTCCGAAGAAGGAAGGCCGTGCAGTCAAAGCAGCTTCTGCAAAGTCAGTCAAGTCTGCCGGCAGAGTGCTGGAGGATTCCGAGGGCGAGTTCGACGAGCACGAAATCGAGGACGAGGGGCCAGCGAAGAAGAAAGCAGGTGGTCGGGCGTCACAAGCTACTGCCGTAGCGACGAAAGAGACATCGGCGTCTGCTGCCGCTGGGAAGACCAGTTCGCGGCGGGGTTCAATCGCCTCCAACCGGCCAGCTACTCCTCCATCTCAAGAGCAGACACTACCTCTGACGAAGCAGGACGCTGCTGCCAAGTCTGCTGCGCCGACAAAAGCAGCGCCAACTACCCACACGCCCATCAAGACAACTTCAAAGATCATTCACAGAGTTGGTCTGAACAGAAAACAGCGCGTGCAACCTCTACTCAAGATGGTGCGACCTCCAGTTGCGCGACCTCCGCCGCCAGCGAAGAAACGTTGACGGATTTGCTTCGCTGATCTTACATAAAATTGCTGTGGCATCATGATACCCAAGCAGTCATTCTCATTCAGATCTCTAGTTTTGGTTGCCGACTTTCACACAGCTACCATACAATTGCAATAGTGACCACATAAACGAACAAACGCAATGCAATGCAATACTTTCTATGCAACAAGCTCAAGCACCCGACTTGGATGCGAGCACCACCAGCTCCAAAAATGTGCAAATGCCTTCCCGCATTGCTTCCGTAGCTTTGTTTGTATAGACGAATTCCACGTTGCTAAACGCAAAGGTGAAACCCAAACCATACGTGACACCGCCTCTTAACCCAAAGCAGCACCGTTCTCCAAATCCTTGATGAGGCCGTCCACATCTCCACTAGCTCCAGTGGGAGCCGGTGACACTACCCTGTCATCTTCAGCACCGCCGTTGGCCGTGGCAGCCTCGGTCAAACCCTTGCGGACTCGCGCGACACTGTCCACGATAACCGCGTCAATGCCTGCCTGAGCCTGCAAATTGCTATTATGAGGGTCGTTGTTCAGCGTGCCATACGACACACAAACCAGCTCCGAGGATTGCACCACGTTAATCAGACGCGGGCAGAGAACAAATGGTTCCGCGGCGCTGACGATGCCGAGCAGATTCCAGCGACTGGCGAACCGAATCGCCTCCTGCAGCGAGGAAGCTCGGATATCTCCAACAGGTGAACATCCAGCATCCGTCAGGAACAGAACCGGGATGGAGGGCTGCTTGAAAGTGAGGAGCAGACAGAGATCCGGGTGGAAGGACGAGAAGACGATGTTCCTCTTCTTTCGCAGATCATACACCATGCGTAAGACAGTGTCCACGAAAGAGTTGAGCTCCACCGCATAAGTGTCCATTTCTTCCTGCACTGACTCAAACAGCATTGGGTATTTCATCTCAATGTTGAAGCCGACATCTTCTGGAATCGTCTTGAACATCTCCTCCAGAGTGGTGAAGGGAGATTGGATAAAGTCGCCACGACTGTTGCCCTTGAATCCTTTAATCTTGAAGTCGCGTGTGTGCTTCATCCTACTCTTCGTGTTGTCGTCAGTGGCGGGTGTGCCCACAGAGTAAGATCTCTGGACACGACTCCTGGGATCTGGATTTGGTTTCACGGATTTGCCATTCGCTTCGGCGGGCGAGGATGGACGAGTGCTCCGCGGTGTTTCGCTAAGTGCGAGGAATTGCTCAAGAGTCAAAGTGTGTACTGGCACGTCTGCCCCAGTTTCACTGACGAGGAAATCGTGGTAGATGACAGGAACGTGGTCTTTCGTCATCTGCACGTCGAATTCGACATATGAAGCACCTAAATTGGCAGCCGTGATGAATGACTGGATTGTGTTCTCTCCGAGTTGGAGGGACTTGTTTGTCGCCATGTTCTTGCCCAAGCCGCGGTGGCCAATGACCTTGGTTGAAGATTTGGTCCAGTATGTCTTCTCTTCGCTGATGCTCACATTGGGGTGCGTGAAAGGTGTGATGATGAGAAAGTTGAAGTTGATAGACCCAATGACATCGAAGTCGGCTCCTCCAATGAGCGGAACGCTCAGATCGGTCTGCAGTGTCATGCGTTTGTTACCCACGCCAGGCTTAATACTGGAGAGCAATGCCACAGCACGAGCGATGCGTTTGTTGGTGGAGCCAGAATACGTGTGAACAAGGTCAAAGCACAACYTGACCTTGGACGTGTCTTTGGTTGTGAACGTCATGAACGCGGTGCTGATTTCCTCCTGGATTGGCAGATCAATGACTGTAGGTTCTCCTGTAGCGCCTTGTGCCGACACTACCAAAGACAACGCTGTGTCCAGCTGTGTTGCATGTGCGTCGGAGATAGCAATATTCTCAAGACTGATTGGGCTGATGTCCTTGTGCTCGTCGAGAGTGCCAAGACTTACGAGTACCATTGTCTCGTCAGTCAAGTAGCGATGACCGAAAGACTTCACAGGCTCGGGCACACRAGCTTTGAGATCTTCCTTTTGCACGCCATTCGACCGTCTATCTTCAAGCGAGGATGCAGTAGGTGGAGAACCAGACAGCTGCGCCACGAGATCCGGGCTAGTATTGATGCTTGGTGGTGGCGTGAACTGAGAGAGGAACTTCGCAATTTCCATGTGACCTCGCAGTGCGGCATGCTCCTGTGGTGTCCACTGCGAAGAGTCCAGTTTGCTGATCTGTGCTCCTGCGTTGATGAGGAGCTTCACAATCGGCATATGGCCGTTCACCGACGCGATGAACAGTGGCGTCCAACTGTAGGACTTMTCCGTAATCTCCACGTTGACCAGACGTTCGCCATTAACAGGTGCCAGCAAGGCTCGAGCGCAGTCCTCATGGCCAAATCTAGCAGCAATGTGAAGCGCGGTTTCGCCCTGCTCGTCCTGAAAGTTGACATCTACGCCAGCATCGACGAGCAGTTTCACAATCTTGTGGAAGTTCGACTTCGTCGCCAGCGCAAGGGAGAGTCCACTCTTCTCAACATGCTTGCTGGTGAGCCTGTGGTCGGTAAAGTTGTGCCAGTCGTCGACGAGAAGCAGGGCCTTTGAGGTACGATAGTGGCCTCCGATGACTGCAAGATGCAGAGGAGCGAAGCCCTCGAGATCTTGCCACACTGCGGAGTCTATACCTTCAGAGTGGTCGGCGAGATGCCAATCCTGCATACGCCCCATGAGCATCTCGCTGGCAAAGACGRGTCCATATTGGGCAGCATAGTGCAAAGGCATGCGCCCGTATATGTCCCTGCTGACGATCGCTTGACGCTGACTCTCGCCAAGATAGCTTAGGATGACCTCCAGGAGGGATTCAGTATGGCTGTCCTCGAATGGCTCACGCTCTGGATCACGCTCTTCGACCTTGAAAGCGCCGGGTACTCGCGTCGGAGGCTCGGCTGCATTAATGAAAGCGGTTGCTTTGGAGATCTGCTCAAATCCACCGGCATTTTGCGAGGCTCTTGCACGGCCAATAGCGATTATGAGTTTGTGCAAGCAATTACGCTTGTTCATATCATCACCGCGGTCAATGCTGGGCACTCGCTTGATGATCGCTTGAATACACTTCAGGGACTTGCAGGTTATCGCACGCTGAAGTAAATCAAGCAGTAGACTCTGTTGCGCCTTCTCACTGGCTGTGGAAGTGGCAGAGGAGACCAGTTCGAAAAGCTTGTCTGGATCGTCCTCACGAGCGGCATGCTCCATAGCTTCCAACGCGGCATTGGGAAGCTTCAGCATTGTCCTGGAGCCCATGCGGTGTATTGATCCTGAGCTTCCCGAGTGGATCGAGCTGGAGTCGTCTGTCACCTTGACATCACCCAGATTAGAGAGCCACTCGTTGATAGCCCGCATGTCCATGGTCAACTTGTTGTTGGTCGCGAATGCTTTGGGGTCCACCTTGGTCGCCAAGTATCTGCTCTGTGTTGTTGACGAGGGAATCTTCTTATCCAACTTCTTTGTGATCTTCACGAAGCCTCTCTTATTGACATCGCCGTACCATTGCAGATGGCGGTATTGTCCTCTGAGCTCCAGCAGTGTGCCCATTAGATCCTCCATGTCGCTCTGATCCATTCCATCCTTGAGCTTTGAAGCCATGCCATAGCGATCGAACAAAAGGCGGAGTCGGCGCGAAAAGTCGGCATACTTGCGATTGTAGAAGGTGTCGACGTCCTCTAACTGGCGGTCCAAGGTGTAGAAGAATTCTGGAGGAGGGTTAGGTTATCAAATGTGCCCGCAGGGCGTGCTCACCGTACCAGCCAAGTCAGGCTCCTGTCCGCTCGTCTCACATTCCTTCGCCGCCGCCTTGATAAGCTTTTTCAGGGCCTTGTAGTCGATGTACGACGACGCCCACTCTGGCACCTGATTCCTGGGCAAGTTGCTTCCAAACTTCATCTTTCGTAATCCAACACCCGTTGGCGGCGTGACTGGGACCACCGCCTCCAGAAATGATTTTGAGCAATAGGAAAGGGACAATAGGTCTCAAGGGGAAAGAAGAATAGGTGCAGTAGCGACAGCGGCACACGATCGGCGTGAGAGGTAGCTCTGTGCACGACAATGCAGCTGTCGACTCTACTAGCTTCTTTGTGCTTTGTGCGGCGTTTGAGGACACCGTGACAAAGGTCACCTGTGATGGCGGGAGGGAGGAGGCAGAGTGTACCGTGATTTCACCGTCTCATCATCTTGACACTTTCTTACCAGGGAATTGGGGCTGGTCGCGGTCAGATGCGGCCGGGTGATGGGTGGCAAGTGCTGAACGATGAAGATCAGAACGTGGTTTTCCTTCCCTCTTGATTGGAGCTTTAGCGTCGTTTTTTTTCGGCTGGTTCTCCCCGGCGGTGTGAAACTCCGATGCCATGTGGGAAAATGCGTCAAACTTCATTGCAACAACGTACAGCACGTTCGTCGTGTGTACCAAGTCTGTATATCTCAAAGCCCCGATATGGTCATTCATTTTCTTTTGCCGCTACCGTTACTGCCGTTAGGCGCTCACGTGCTCTTGCTCCATGCCACATCCCGGACAATCGGCACGTGTCCGAAAATGCCAAGCTGACCCTAGCACAGCATTGTCATTGACCTGYAGCACGCATTTTTGTCGTGCGTTCAGGCAACAAGCCATCCGTATCTTGGGGATGCGGCGTAGCTTTGCAATACATGTGCCACGCTGATGCCCTCCGTCGAGAAGGCAACACCGAATGGGTGCAAGGGTTAGGGTTGAGGTAGGGGTAAAGTAGCACAAAGCACACGGTTGCGGCCATACCCGGTGTACTAAGGTATACCAGGCAGAGACTTGGGAGACTTTTGTGTATGCTGGATGAGCCTTGGTTGGCTCTGCCCTCGGTCACCGAACGTGAACGAGCCCCGTGCCATTGTATCCAACTTCTAGCGTGAATGTCAAAGCCTACACACGGATAGGCTGACATTTTTGGAAGTGCGCCATCAACAGGATGAAACCTGACACCTGTGAGTGATTGGCCATGCGTCCTTCGACACCCATTGAAAGTAGATGCAGGTATCTTCAAATCCTTATACAGAAGAAGGCCGCCACTGGAAGCCGGGGTATCAATTGGCACTAGTTCCACTTGATGTTTTCAGCTCATGAATTGATGCCGATAAGCATGCAAGTCACCGACAACCTCGACTACGCGGGCGAACGACTGGATTGTATGTCTCACGCCATTGCCACGGTACCGAGTCACCCCAAGTCATCGTGTAATGTCCATAGCAGCGAATAGCGCTTGAGGAAATGGCGCCAAGAACGAGGTATAGATCGACCTGCTATTGAAGCCCAGCACGGACGATCATAGCGAAACTCATGTGGAGTGAGACAAAGTTCTATCGAGCTCGAGCAAAGGTTTAGGTTACCAACTCGACGTTCGGTATCGCCGACGAACCAAGTACACAACGGGCCCAGCGGGCATGCATGTCTCGGATGCGCCGCCCAGGAATCAGAAGACAATTTCGGATTACTTGTGAGACAACCACATTAGTGGTGGATCCTGCTCCGATGGCCAAAGGGACAATACGCATCGATGCACACACTTCCGTCAGCGTCAAAAGTATTGTTCACCTAGCTGTTCCTTTAACACAAACATGCCTCCAGACTTAGTAAGTCGATCCGGCGGCACAAGGTGTACCATGTTGCTTATCGAAGGGCCATGTTTCGGAGGTTAGCCCATTCACAGCAGAGTCCGCGTCCCGTTAAGCCATTAATTGACAGCAACTCGAGGAAGCTTCGCAACATCGTTATCCAGTCTGTCAGATTAGAAAGGATCATGCCACCATGTCGAGGTTCGATGCACGCGGCTTGGATCACGCGAGTGGCGAGGTATGAATGCTGCTGGCTCAAAAACGGCGTCAAATAACTGTTGGCAACGGTCGAAATATTGCCTAAAGCTGCRAGCCTACCACAACAATGCATTGTGAGGCTCGTTGATCGTGAGGTTTCATTCGCGTACGACGGTTTTTATCTCCCGTGCGCTCGAGCGTCGGGCTTGGGCTTGCAGACAACGTGGCTTGCATGGGCGTCAATCATGTACTGGGCTCAACCCGGTACAGGAACAATGCAGCCCAGCTATGGACCGGGAACGTTCAACCACCGGATTTTGGCGCGATAGATGAGCTTGTACGCGCCAATGCAAACCTTCGGCGTAGTAGTGAGACTTGGGAGATGCGAGGTGATGTCGAATGGATGGTCTTGCCTTAGGCCTTGGATACTTCGCCTCATCTTACCGTAAGATGCGTATCTTACGGTAAGATGTATATAGGCCTGTATCCATCTTAGTAAAAGCCGTATTAATGCATCTTAGCCGTATTACTAGTATTTAGTATATAGCTATATCTTTACCGGCTTAGCGCTTCTTATCTATACCTTATTATCTTATTATCTCGTAGCGCTACTCTTAAAGTAATATAACTATACCTCTAGCCGGCTAGCGTAAGCTACTAATCGAACTATCTAGTCGTCTAAAGAAGAAGGGTAGAGCGAAGAAGGCGAAGAGCGAGAATACGGACTCGGAGGCTATAGAGGTAATTAAGGCGCTAGCTATACGGCGAAAGCGTGCTCTAGCGTATCTATAAACGGATAATAAGTTAGTATCTATACTTAAGAAGCTTATTAATCGTATTACGGCTTAGAACGATAACTAAGGCTTCTCGGATACGTATATCTTAGAGGTTACGAACGAACTTAATACTTAGTATACGACGGACCTAAAAGCGAAGTAAGTACGTAATAAGTTTAACTCCTTTAGGCCTATATAAAAGGAATAGAAGGCGTATCTAGGGCGTATTAGCGGATAGAACGGATAGCCGCCTTATACGGATAAGGATATTAAGGCCGAGTACTACCTTACGTATTCTAAGAATAAATAATAGCGGTATAAATTATCTTAGTTCTAGGACTAACTAGATGTATTATTCGGTAATAACTTAGCTACCGGCAAGGCTATAATAGATGCTTCTAAGCTTAGAGCGGAGACTATCGAGGACCTAGTAGCGGAGGCTAGTATTATTGTAGCGGTAATATCTATTAAGGACGATATATAGCTATCGTTAATAGTAAGGTCGTCGCTAATTCGAGGTAGTAGTAGCTCCGTAAGCCGTAGACGGAGTAGTAGTAAGCGGCTAGCTAGTAGCGATAGAAGTAATATTACTACTATAAAGAGGAACCGGTTAGTTAAGGATACGCTAACTCGAGTATATATACGGAACGAAACTGCCTTTACTATTAAAGGCCTCGAGAAGTCTATTAATCGTATAATTAGTACTATTATTACTAGTCGCTAGTAAAGTATACTACTACGAGATATACTAATTACTACTACTCTAAGGAGAGCTATAGGCCTTAAAGGCATTAAGAAGCTCGGCTTTACGAAGAGGATAGCTCTATAGGATATTATCTTAGAGAGTAAGAATATAGCCGCTCGAGTAATTAAATGCCCTAATAATAACTTAGAGGTAATACTAAAGTACCTATTAAAGAAGAAAGGGCCTATAGAGGTTATTAACGAGGTAGATAAGCCGGAGGCTATTAAGGTAGCCTTATTAATAATAGCTCTAACTATCGCTCTAATTACGGCTCTAATTATCGTTCCGTATAGTTATCCTATACTAGATTTTCGTAGTCCGCTACCGTCGCTAGAGGAGATATATATAATATCGTAGTAGTAGTTCGGCGGAGGTATATAATACGGTAGTAGTAGTAGTAGTAGTAAGTAGTTAAACTTTTAAAACTACTATAGACGATAAGGGACGAAGGGCTTTATCTAGTAAAAACTTATAGGATTACGGTTTCTTATATAGTATTATAATAACCCTATTATAAATTACGAAAAAAATGTTATAATTATCGATAATTCGAGTACTATAACATGCTATATATTTAGTAAAATAATGTAGTTATATTAGGGTTTATTTACGACGCGATAGTATTATATCTAAAGGGCTAGCGCTAATTTTGTAGTATCCTTAGTAAAACCTATTAACTTAGTATCTATCCGCGAATATTCGAACTACGCCCCTCTAGCTCTATTAATACATCTACGCTCCCTCTAGCGGGACTCTAGTATCTATTCTATATACTAAAGCCGGTCTTAGTACCTACCGTATAGAGGATACCGCTATTTCGACGACTAACTAGCCCCTCTTTAGTTATTCTCGTACGGTCGATTCGCCTCTAACCTCGCTTAATAATCTTAATATATCTTTATCGCTATACGGTTACGGTAAACCGCTATCTTACTCCTTATTACTAGATACTCCGCGTCTATCGCCGATATATCCTCTATAATATCCTACTTTATAAAGCCTACGTTAATATCCTCCGGCTACTAATCGAAGTCCTTAGTATCTAGCGTCTAACGGTAACGGCTTATAAAGTTATAAAGCGCTAATACGGCGATAACGAACCGTAACTACTATATTACGCTCTAGCCCTTATTCGGTCCTTTACGAAGGATTAGCTACTACTTCTTATTAATACCGAATAGCCTCTTAATTATATTACGAGCCTAACTATAGCGTAGATTTAATAGCTCCTCTTTTAACTACGGCTTTATCTTACTAGCATACTACTCTCTAAGATAGTATCTTATTCGTTAATACGGAACTAATATATAGCTAAGGTTCTTTAAATAGCTACCGTCCGTAAGGTAGTACTTCCCTAGAGGTACGTATATCCCCTTCTTAAGAGCTGTTTTTAGAATAGTTCTATTATTCGCTAACTGTAAGGGTGTTGWGAACAGGGGGTCTTAATACTAAGCAGTGATTCTTAGATATGTACGATATTGCCTAGGGAGCGAAAGGGAACAGGTAACGAGGACATTGCCCTTTTATAGGATTGCGCCCGGTGCTAGTTAGGCTCGGCGGTGCCGTAGAGGTACCGTAGAGTTACC